CCTAGGCTCTCCTGTTTATCAGTTGTTGTTTTTTATTGTTTTTTTATGTGTATTGATTTCCTTTTTCATATTGCAGCTCATTGGGTTTTCACCAGGAAAGCGAAGCTCAGAGTAGTGTCTAGAGTGTCTTCCCGAGCCGGAGTCAGTTGTTTATATCGATGTTTTTGGGGACACGGTATCTGAAAGCACTGGAGCGAAATCATTGCAATGACATCCTTTTTATACTTCAGTAGCCCAGCTTCCCACTCAGCCACTGCAGTGCCTCCTTGTATCATCCAAAAGTGGGCGAGGGTATTGTCACATCATGCAGAGTCACCCACAACCTGAAGCCTCTGAGAGAGAAAGGGACAGAGAGCTCTCTGCTCCTGGGATGTAGAAAAGTGACAGCTTAATTCACTCTTCCTCACTCCCCTCCCACTACTTGTCAGTCCACAGGCATTATTCTGCTCCTAGACCTGCTAAGAAGATGTCAGCCCCAATATTCCCCTATGCCAGCGTGCCCTGCTTTCCATGGGGGACTGGAGTACTAGAGCTGAGATCCACTTCCTTTCCATGCCCACTGCCAGATCCCCGGTTCATGCCGGGCTTTGATCTCCCTTGTCTTGCTGTATTACCCCGATTTTTGACTGCATCCAGCAATAGTTGCAGGACGCAATGAAGAATCGGGATTACACAGCAAGAATCCATCTTGGTTCCCGCACTGACCATGTTACATTTCCATTTTTCCTTCTCTTGCTCCCACCTTTCCTGCCCTCAGGCTCCAGGCTCTGCACAGCTTTGTCCCTGCATCTATATAATGCCCTCCTGTTGCACCTCGTCGTCTGAACTCCACTCGTAGACGATTTGCTTCTCTTCCCACTTTCACCACGATGCCTCATGCACTTGGTACAGCAGCATTTTTCCCATCCTTGCTCTGCCTTTCCAAGTCCATCCTCCACCTGATTTCTATCGATAACTTCTTCTCTCCTAGTAGCTTCCCCACCTCCTTCTCTCTTGCTCTACCTCAGCATGTCAAATATCAGCTCATATGGGATCAGTCCCCATAAAACATGTCCCACATTATTTGTTCTTGCCTTCTGCCTCTCTTCCTCCCTTCCCACCTTCTTTTAGCAGCAAACTGAATGCAGAGCTGGCATTCACAAGAAGGCTGTGGGTGTTTACCATTGAATTTAGGCCAGGCAGGCAGGAGCCTGGATCAAGAGCATCATTTTGCAGCAAAATGAAGCCAGACGGGGATCAAAAGGGCACGCAGGATTTAGACGTGAAATGCCTGCAAACATATAATTGCCTGCCCACAACAGCTGCTGCAGCCAGGTTAACCTTCTTGGCCTAGTTTGTAAGCAAGGCACTGTGTAAGGGAGTGAAGAATTACACAGTTGATGTTATTGCTGCTGTTCCTGTTGGCATTACTGCTTCCGAGCTGTGCACTGCATCTGTATAGCCCCAGGAAGAAAGCTTCCTTTCCTCGTGGTGCTTCCAACTGCTGCTAGAGCAGCAGTGATGCTGATGGGATAAAAGAAAACCAGAATACAACAGATGCCATCATAGCAGGCTCAAGCAGCAGGCGTTTGTGTGCATTGCGATGCTGTAGCTCTGTTTTTGGAGCAAGATGTGCTTGTTCAGATGGTGACCAGGCCAGGATATTAGGATGAGGTGGGTTCTTTTCAGTCCTCCATGTGGGAATATCTGCGTGACCATACCCAACTAGGTAAGTCAGGTGCAAGCACCATTGTAGCCACAGCAGCATGGAGCTTGGCGTGGTGCTGCAAAACCAACCTGAGAAGCAGGGCAAATGTTTAAGTAGCTAACCCCTGCTGAGCCCCCATGCTGTTGCATCGATGGTACTGGCAGTACCCGAGACAGCTTGTTTAATGTTCTGTTCCTTTCTGCACGGTGGCTCGGCTCCAGCAAAGGAAGGAGACCGGGCTCTCATCCAAACTCTTCCATCGCCTGGGGGTGCAAACTCTCTCCTGGGAGAAAGGGGGAGGTTTGGGGGAGAGCTCAGTTGAATCCCATCAGGCTGAGGATGGCCGTAGACCCCAGATCTCTCTCATTCTGGATGAGCGCTCTACCCATTGGCCTATCGTGTCCATCACAGGTGTCAGCAGCACCACTGCTACAGTCATGGGCCCTGCTTAGTTAGGCACCGACACTGCATAGAGAGGAGCAGGAGGCCAGACATCCCCTTGCACTCAGCATTTTCTACTGGCAGCTTTAGGCAGCTGCCTGCTCGGCACGTGTATTTTTGTGAATCGCCCGTCTCTGCGGCACCTAACTCTCCCCACTGCTTGGGAGGGAGTCGCTCAGCATCGCTCCATTTCTCAGAATTGCCCTCCTGGGAAGGCAGGCTAGATTTGCACCTTACAGATAGGCTTGGCAGAATTCGATTTTTATTTTTTAAATCATTTCGACAGCTCAACTCAATGGTTGTTTTTAAGCATTTGTTTCAGGTTTTATTGCTTATTTTTTTCATTGTCCATTTTTTTAAATTTCAGGGTTGCACAAAATTTGGGGTGTGAGGGGCAGACAATTTAGTAATGACCTAGTATACTGTTCGAAGTTTTATAAAATCACATGTTAAAATATAAAAAAGAAACATCCATAAATCAATCAAGCATACTTGCTTTGAATCATTCTGTTCCTTTGGTAGACCATGCAGGGGCCAGGTAAGAGCGTATGTGTGTGCATGTGTGCGTGTGCAAGCATGGTGTCTCCTGCTCTGGATTTCCTTAACTACGTCCCAGATTTTTTTTTTTTTTACATCCCCTTTCTATAAACTTCAATGATTGCAGGCAGAAATATTTTTCTGCCAGTCTGTGTGTCAGGTTAAATCAACATTTATCCATGTTTATCAATAAAAATCGAATCCTGCCAAGCCTACTTATAGACTAACCAAAGTAGGTAGGTAGATAGATAGATAGATAGATAGCACAAGCTTTTATGGTTTGAAGCTCACTTCCTCGGCAGCCTCCTAGAGCCAGATGCCTAATTTTTAAACTGGTCAAAGTCTAACTCTTAAGCAAGCCAAAGCCTAAAATGGAGGTACCTTAGCCCTGTGTTAGTGAACAGAAACTTGCCTGCACTGGGGAGAGGCACACTCCAGTGTGACAGACCAGTATAAAACAGGAAATGCTATCAAGGCATCATCGTAATCCTTGGTACCCAATATAGCTCGCATCCTGCCCAATTGTAAGTGCTTCTTGAGGCAAAAGTCCTTCCCCATTAATACAAGTATAACTGCTCAGGGAAGCAGGCTGCACCATGCAAACCCTGGGACCATTCCCAAATCATTCTGTTTGAAATATGAAGGCTCTTGGGATTTGGAGGGATTGGTATCACAGACAGCAGGCACATCTACATGTGCTATTAGCACAGAGCAATAAACTCCAGTGTGTATTATGCCAAAGTTTATTGGTGTCATCTGCAAACTTGCTGAGGGTGCAATCCATCACATCTTCCAGATCATTAATGAAGATATTGAACAAAACCATCCCCCCCTTCAATGTAGGCATCTCTCATTGGCCTCCAAGGCCGGACAAACTGACATTATACATCCGTTATTATTTTAGAATGGTTTGAACCCATCTTATTTTGCACAGGCCTGCTTGCCCAACTACATGATTTGATTACTGTTCCCCAGGCCCCCCAGTCCCCACTCTGCCCAGTGCTTTGGTGTTCCTGCTTACTGCATCCAGCTTCAAAGTAGATTGGTCACTACTCGGGCAGGGACCATGCCTTCCTTTGTGACTGTCCAGAGGTTAATGCAATAGGATGCTGACATTGATTGTGTACTTTGGGGCAATAACTCAATAGAAATAATAATAGACTCGTGCTAGACTCATCAGCCTGAGTACCGTAATGGGGAACAAGGAAAGGTGGAACAGGAAAAGCTGAGCTTGACAACCTCAGCAAATTCCCACTAGACAGCTGGAGACAATGTCAGGCAAAGGTTAAAACTGAGAGCAGAGGTTCTCTTCTTCATTTTGGCACTGACTCACTGTGATGTGTCTGTAGAAATGGCTTAAGAAAATCCCACTTGTGTAAGCACTTCGAGGTCCACAGAAAAGAGTGCTGCATAAGGGCCTGCTCCAAAGCCCATTGAAGTTAACAGGCTCCTCATTGATTTTAAATGGGTGTAGAAGGTAGGACGGGGTAGCACCAGAGATATGAACTGGTTCAGAGGAGCATCAGCTTTTGTAAGCAACAACCTACATTATCAGATGCTAAATGTGGGTGTGATTTTTGATGTAAAACCATGAAATGTATCCAATTCAAATACTTAAATTGGTCAATCCAAGCTTCAAATGTCTTGAAATGCGAGTCCCTTGATACCTCTCTCTCCAAACAACAGTTCAGTACTAGGTAGGCTATATTTTTGTCTATTATAATTCAGCAAATATATTTATTGTTAACTTGGTTTCAGGATTTAAGGGAAGCTGCTTATAGTTTAAAATGTGTAGATAGGACTGAATAAATAAGAATAAATGTGTTCCATCTGTGATATTTAACACACAATTTATCCCAGAATGTTTTTAATATGTTTAAGTTGCTTCAGTGATTTGGTACAGGCCTAATTATGTTCCTACCAGTATCACAAATTGTATTGTAATTGTGCTAGCATAACTGGTTATTTAAAAATTGAACTCAACTCAGAAATTTGATGTCTGTTTGCAGGGATGCCAGAATGGGGCTTTTCTTAAATTTATCTCTGGAAGATGCATTTCGCGCCCCCACAATTCCCCCCCGCCCTTTCAGCTTTTATGTTATTTTTGACAAATTACCCTTTGTGTTCAGTTAAAAAAAAAAAAAAAAAAGGAAAAAATGATGCATAATATGGCTCTCATCTTAAACCCAGTGAAGTTTGTAATCGCCTTTTAATTGATTTCAGGGTGCTTTTTATCAGGTCCAGAGTTTAAAGTATTATCAGGATCCAGATTCTGTTTTGAAGTAGACTTCTTGTTGGCCTCAGTACAGACCGTGTCTGCCTTTTTCCTTTGAAGGTAACGGCAGAGTTAGATGCCTGGAATGAAGATTTGCTGAGGCAAATGAATGATTTCAATACTGAGGATCTCACTCTGGCTGAGCAGCGCTTGCAGCGCCACACGGAGCGGAAGCTGGCCATGAACAACATGACCTTCGAGGTCATCCAGCAAGGGCAAGATTTACATCAGTACATCATGGAAGTCCAGGCTTCAGGTAAGCAGGGCAGTTTGCTTAAGGATCTTTGCATCGTCTTTTCATTAGCTGCTGTCCAGTAACCGCGTAGATCCTTCTGTCCAGAAACACCTTGGCATTGGGGTTGGTTGGGAAAGTGTGGGTAAATGTTTTTGGTCAAAAAATTGGAGTTAATTGAAACTGCAATATTTCATGGCAATGGATCAGCGTTGATGGTTGTTGGGAAGGTTTCACAGGTCCGACGTGTCATTTCTGGCCCATATTGGAGAATAACCAAAAGCCCCGTGGGAATGAAATCATATTCAAAACCTGCAATTTTTCATGAACCTTTCCTTCTGCTCCTCTGTCCTTGCTTTCCAGCTAGTACTAATTGCTTTATTTTGTGTGTAAAAAAGAAGGAAGGTAAATCATTTTATAATTTGACCTTCCAACGTGCACTTGAAGGGAAGAGAGCTGCTTGCATATCAAGGCTTTCCTGGCACATAGGTGTAAATGGCTGTCTTGAATCATGTACACAGAGAACCTGCCCAGTACCTTTTATCTTTCCTCTCAGCAGAGGGATCTGATTTCCAGCATGCGCTGTGAATCCAGATTTTTGCATTCTCACCTGGGGGATAAGATCACTCCGATTAATCTCTGCGTCCAGTCTGTTGTTATTTGTCACGTGCTTTAACCTTCTCATGTGCATTTGTTGCCCTGAGGGGTCAGGCCAACGCTCAGGATCTCAATATTGTGCTGTTAGACAAGAGGGCGTGGTGTACAATTGCACATATACAAACACACAAATCAGTTAGGTGCATACACACACAAACTACCAGCACAGGCACATGCACATTCAAACCAGCCTAGGCACATGCATACCTATTTCCAATTCAAGTACATACACTATATACCCCAGAAGTTAGACACAGATCACTAATTCATATATCATGCACACAATGCCACATATATCTACACACACACACACACACACACACACACACACACACACACACACACACCACTCACACTAGCAACTCAGATACACATGTGTTCAAAATAACTAGCTTAGGTTCATGCACACCTGTCACCAGTTTAAGCCCATACACACTACACACACCAAATTTAGACAGAATCAATTACCAGTTACCAACACCTGCACATCCAATACGCGTGCATGGATTACTAATTTATATACTACACACACACACACAATGATATCTATATATGTATATATATGTGTATTCACTAATTTACACACTTACCACCCACCTACACATTCACACAGGTAAGTTCCTAAGTTGGTTATTGTGATGTGTATGTATGTATGTGCTTGGTGTACTTGGGATACCTGGGGGAAAGGTTAAGGTAAGAAAGTAGACGTGTAGGAAGTTAAAGTTACCAGGACTGGGATTAGAACTGGTAGACTACTGGGGCCTGGGCTGAAGAACTGAGGCTCAGGGGTAACTTTAGGTTAATTGATCTTAATTGATTAAAAGACAGTGCCCAAAGCCTGCAGAACAGGGAAGCAATGCGGGACTAGAGCCAGAGCTACGGGGGGGAGCTGAAAATGTAGGTAGGGAGAGGGAAAAATGGGACTAAGGGACAGTGTGGGTGTTAAAGAGGGGCTGTGGATGCGGGGAGCCAGAGGATGGCTCCGGGGCAGCTAGAGAAGTTGCAGGGAGCGGCAGGTGCTGGGAGCTGGAGAAAGGCTCCAGCTGCTGGAGAAAACTTCAGGACAGCCAGAGGAGCTGGGAAGCTGCGAGGTGAGGGGAGGGGCGGGGATGACTACAGAAGGTGCCAGGGAAGCCTGAAAACAGCAGAAATTCAGAGGAAAAGGTGGCAAGGCAGCAGGAAAGCAGAGAAAGGCAGCAGAAAGTCACAGGGGAAAGGCAGTAGGTGCAGGAAGCTGGGGAAATGCTCCTGCTGCTGGAGAAAACTGCAGGACAGCTAAGAGGAGCTGGGTCGCTGCAGGGGGGGGTGGGGGGGAGGATTACAGAAGGTGCAGGGGAAGCCTGAAAACAGAGAGAGGGACAGCAGAAAATCACAGGAAAAGCAGCAGGAGGTAGGGCAGCAGGAAAGCAGAGAAAGGCAGTAGAAAGTCACAGGGAAAAGAAAGCAGGAGCAGGGGAGGCTGAGAGGTGGCAGAAAAGGGGAGATGGAATTGGGAGATCAGGAAACTAGCAGAAAGGGTGGGGACTGGAGCTGAAATAGAGAGAGAGAATGAGGCTGGAATTTAAGGTAGGGAAGGGACTGGGATTCAGTAAAACATGACCCAACTCGGGGTTGCAAATGACAGTGGCTTTATTGAACAGGGGAGATGGTGACACAATGTCAAATTGGTTCCCTTGCACCCACACACACACACACGCATGCACACACAATGGCAACAGGGGTTAAAGAGGCTTGGTGTAGGGGCTGAAGTCCACTGGAGTCCAGGAGGAGAGAGAGACAGAAAGAGAGAGAGAGAGTCCAAATTGTAGGAGGAGGTATGCAGGTAATATCTACCTATCCAGGCTGGAAAGGGGTAAGGTCCAGTAGGTGTTGTCCAGAGGGGGGTCGCCTGCAGGGCCTCTGGGTGGATAGGTGGTGTGGCGTGGTGCTGGTCCAGATGGAGAGAGCATCCCACTGGGTCTGTCTTCACTGCCCCTTTTTATAGGGGCAGACCTTGTGTGACCCTAGTGACAGGAGGCATGCCCAGGCAAGGGTCAGCCCTGGCGTACTGAGCATGTGTGCTTCATGCAGGGATGTGCAGTTTCGGGTGTCTGTAATGGCGAGAGTTGCTGCTTTTGCAGGGTCCTTTGTCTTTCAAATGCTGGTCTTGTCTCTGTTCCTGGGTGAGGTCCATGGTTCCTGGGTGAATCAATGCGAGATGATGGCCCAGTCGTTACAGGCCATTCAGTAGAGGCCTGCTACCATTGTATTTCAATCATTCCCAATCATTCTCATTCATCCGGGAACCAATTTACATGGGAGGGGTACGTGAATCATACAGTTGCAACATGGGATGCCCGGACAGGAGACAGAAGATGGAGGCTTGACATATAAAATGGAAACTTGACATTGGTTCACTTGCAAAAACAGGCTTAAACCATACACTATCCATATGAAACAATAAAAATCAATACAAAAAAGATAATAATACAGTATACAACGGTAAGAATCAGTACAACCCTAATAATAATACAGTATAAAACAGTGGATATCCAAAACCAAAAACTTGCTACCAAAATAAAAATGTTTAAAGCTTATCCTACATCTTGGCTTACTTATACTTATCTATAGGGAATAGAGAGGGAGAGAAAAAGTCAGAAATGGTTGGGGAAGGGGAGCGAATGCAATAAAAAAAAAAAAAAAAAGAAAAACTGGGGGTTTTGCTACACCTTGAAAGAAGCACAGAGCAATCCTCCCACTTTTAATTAAGATAAGAGGCCAGAGCTCGGGATACAAATAAAAGTAATTTAGCTGGTCTCCTCCTGTTGTCCTGTGATGATTTCAACTCTGGGCACCCCCGTTTGAAAAATGTTGGAAATATTCAGCATGATTTGGCAAGCTCTGTTGAACAGAGGCTTCGGAGAAGCTAAGAGGCAACCTTGCACAATAGTGCATTGGCCTGAACCAAGCGTGCGAGCTTGCACACCGTACACCTGGTTCTGTGCTTTGCCTGATAGTCCCTTGTTTTTTGTTCTTTGGTAAGATTGCCTCAGTCAATCAGTTAAGAGGCTACTTTTTTTCATCCTGAAAGTATCTGTGTGGGTAGAGCCGTGGGAGGTACAGGATGTGATCCAGAGCAGAGCTCAGGCAGGAGCCTGGTTGATTGATTTTAGAAAAGCTCTCGCGCTGTGTTTGTTCAAACCTCTAACGCTGCAGGAAATTAGAAACAACGTCTTTGGAGTCCAAACAAAAGATCAGACATTAAACAGGGTGAGATCTTAAATATTTTTAAAAGATAATCTTGGCCTCCCAGGGTAATGTCCATGTGTATCTGAGGAAAATCATTTGCCTCCAAAGGCAAAAAAAAAAAGTAAAAACCCTGCAAAAATCCAAGTGAGTGTAGCTGTGGTTTCATCAAAGGTTATTTCCATGCCCATTTTGCATGGAAAACTGAATATTGGGAGGATGGCATAATAAGGGAGACCTGTTGCTCTTTAAAGACCGCTGTTCTTTATGTTGATAAAAGACAGCTATACTCCATGGAAATTGTGTTTAATGTTGCTCTGTCACTGTACTCTACATAGACATGTTCATGAGCAAGTCAGGAGATGGTTGTTTTTCTGGACAGAGTTGCAAATCCCTAAAGGGGTCTGAAAATCAGCTGTTGTCATTGTTTTATCCTCTGCATTCTCGCCAGTGCTGCACTCAAAAATGAGTTGAAAATGCAGATGGTGGTGCTATAAATTCATGGTTCTGCAGGAGCATTCAATAGCCTTTCCCACTCCTAATCATACCGCCCTCCCCCCTTCTCGTCTCCCTTTAAAACTCAACAGCCATGGGATTCAGTCCGTTTTGATTGCGATTTCTTTCATGGGGTGGACTTGGAAAGGTTTATTCTAATAAGTCTGCCAGACAAATGCACTCTCAATAGAGCTAATATCCTTCAGATGCTTTAATCTGACACACACGGATAAATGAGATCTGGATTAACCTGATTTTACTGTAAAAAATATTTGTTCTCAACAAGCTTTGTATTTCATTATTTCCTACACACTCTCTAAAAGCCACACTGTGATCTCTGAGATCCTTAATTCAGCCAACTTGCAAGTCTTGGGGTTTCGCTGAAAATGCATGTCCTTCAGGAAGCAATTTTATACATTGAGGAGACTTGCTAAAGGCCAAGATTAGTGAGGAAGTAGCTATTATTAACTGAATGATTCTGTCTTCATTCATGTAACTTTCTACTGAGGTCAAATAAGGCCTCCAAGAGAAATGGATGTAAAACGTGAGGGTCAAGATTTTCAAACATAAATGGTGATATTTTTTTGAGGGAGCACCCAACTTCAGCAACCTTCAAGAGACCTTTTTGCAGAAAGTAGGGCCTCAAATTGATAAAAGGAAAAATGTTTAAGTTGTTATAAAAGTCAGCCCCCAAAATCACCATTAATTTTTGAAGATCTTGGCCTGGGTCTCGCATCCATCCCTCATATAACTCCACTGCCTCCAGTAATCATGCATTCATGTATTTCCTTAGTGCACACAGTTGTTTCACTTCTGCTGATCAACAGGTGTTACCATCTGACAGCTGATTACGGGTGTGTTGTAATTCATTTGATGGTCCTAGTCTAGATCCCAGGAGACGATTGTTAAAACTGCATAACCACTAGCACAACTGGCACTAATTAACACCACTGATGCTGATGAGTCAAGACATGAATGGGCCACTCTGGAGACTGAACTGCCTTCTTTTTGCCAGAGAAATGATGTGTCTGTGTTAGGGGTGAAGGCAACATTGAGGAGAATTTACACTGTCATGGCCCATCTTCTAATTGTTCAGTTCAGGAACAAATCCATGTCCATTTTGACCACAGATCTGTAAGGGTCAAACTGTGATATCTTCACTTATGCTGAATAGTTTCTTATATTGCAAAAAGCCCAGTTGAAGTCAATGGGAATATTCACAGTGCAAGACACTCGTCACTGTGAGTGATGAGGCAACAATTTGACTTGAGCGGTCCTTTGTTTTTTAAGCTACATATGCCAGCCTTGAGTTGACTCCAAGTGAAATCAATGTAATTAAAACAAGGATGAATTCAGCCCATAAACCATGCTAACTTATATCCAAACCAATCCACTAAGGGCAGTGGGGCCAATCTTCAGCTGGTGTCAGTTGTTGTAACCCAATTATTTATAACAGAGCGATGACAGTCTGCACCATCTAAGAGATCTCCCAGTGGGATTGCCCAGATTATAAGGCAGTGAAGATGCAGTTGCAGTGCTTAAGTCCATTAGTGAAGAAAATGATTAGACAGGTGCTTTAAGCACGTCCCATGTGTTTCAACATGATTTAGGTATGTGATTGTAGCTAAATATGTGCTAAAGTCCTTTTCCTGAATTGGGGCCTAAACCAGCACAAGCTACATGTCTTCAAGTATTCAGGAGTAACTCTTATCCAATGCAATTTGTGTCCAACCTGCTTGGAACTGAGGATTTTTAATGGCCAAATCTAATCTTAAAATGCCTGGAATTTGAATCTCGGGCATTTCTCCTTCTGATCAGTTCAGTTCTGTAAATGGATTTTTTTTCCAGTTATAATTCAGCAAACATGTTTGTTTGTAACTTGGTTTCAGGGTTTAATGGAAGTCGCTTACAACTTAGGTTGTGCAGATAAGGGTGAATAAATAACAATAAATGCATTCCATCTGTGATGTTTAATATACAGTTTTTAGCAACATGTTGTTGTTATGTGCAAGACAATTATTTATTACCAAAGACCTAATTATTCTGCTACCGGTATCACAAATTGAGCTAGCAAAACTGTTTGTTTAAAAGTTGAACTCAAGTCAGATATTTGATTTCTGGCATTCATGCAAACCTTTTTTTTTTTTTAAACTTATAAACATCATGTGAAAAATAATGTACAGCTGATTCAAGACCTATTGAAGTCCATGGTAGTCTTTTCATTGATTTCCTAAGGTTTTGGATCTGGCTTTACGTGAGTATATTTAACTTTAAAACTCTTCAGTGGAGCAAAGGTTCCAGGAAAAGGAGTACGGGGGGCAAAGCTTTATGCTCTTCATTCCATCAAAGTAAATCCAGTTACTTTACTGTATTTTTTCCCTCTGGATCTATGCTAGTATCATGGAGAGCTGCATTGTATTCATGTTGTTGTGCTCATGGCTACTCATTTTTTTAAAAATTGGCTTAAAAACACTAATTGCCATTCTGTCCGTAGTCCCTTCAGGGTTTGCTGAACCAATCTATTCAGTAGTCCCTTGAGCTGAGAAAGATGGCAACTGCCTTCACTTTATTGAACAGTCAGTTGTGCTTTCCTGTGATCAAAACCCCATGTAAAAATGTTCTGTGGTGTGAAATTATTTCAGAAATGCAACATCAAAATGCTTTATGTTTTACAAATCAACCTTTGAGGAGAATGAGCTCTCTTTGCCTGCACCGGCATCGAAGTATAAATCTGCGTGACATATGACAAGCAAAAAAGGGCAAATCATTCATCACTAGGGGAGCAGTCTGCCCTTGGATACCATCCTAGGCAGTTTACTGGTTGCTGCTGATGAGTTAGCACAATCAAGTGCACACCAGCCGTGTGTGCATGATGGAAAACTGTGAGCTTGATATTAAATAGGTACGGGGAAGTCAAGCATGCAAAACTCCAGCCATGTCCTAAGGACATGGGACCATATGCAAACTAATTGAAACAACGATGCAGGATGCCTGGCAATGGAAAGGAGCGGTGCTCACGAGAACAGAAGCGTAAATTAGATGTGCAGATCCATATATGGAGCCAGGGGCCTTCCACCTTAGTGGGTAATGAAGAAGCTTTTTTTCGTGTTGGCTGGACAAGAGACCTAGCTAATCACTCTCCCTCCCGTGTGCCTTTTATGCTGGAGGAGCGCAGGGGACTGGGACACAGAAGGAGAATTTAGTTTCATGTTAAATGCATCTAAATGTAATGTCCTTGTTTCCTGGACAGAAGCTTCCAATTAGCACTTACTTGGGGTTTTTTTAAATCTTATCACTTTATCTTCTCTTTATCTTACAATATCTTTTTTATTGTATATAATAACAGCACTTTGAAGCAGAGTATAGTGTTTTCCAATTCCAGTTGCAATGGGCAAAATTCCAAATGACTTTGGTAGGAAAAGAATCAGGCCCATACTGGTGTCTTATTACATGGACTACAATGATGTTGCATAGAGAGGCTAAGCCAAACGCTCTCCATTATACTGGTAACATGCCATTACCTCTGTTAGACTCCTATAACAAAGAGTACAACATGGTGCTCTGCATTGTGTTCACAAGACTATAATATGCTAGGACAGATCCTTAGGTCTAGTTGTGTATGCCTGATGTAGGACCAAAAACTCAGGACGCTTAAGGCGTATGTCCATTCCTGGAGTTCAGGGCTAGTTGGAGGCTCTTTTGTCCCATGGTGCAATTTTGAGCAACTTAAGGGATGGCTTAAGTTAAATAAGTGATGTCCTACAGGCCATCCTGCCAGCTGGGGGTTGCCAGAGTGCAAGGCACTAGACGTAACCCTATGTTATGGGCACACTGCCACCCACCGACCAACTCCAAGTAGGGGCAGGAGTTAACACATTTTTTTTCTTCCTTTCTTTCTCTCTTCCTTTGATTATGCAACATAAATTATGAGGTACGTTAATGAAATGAAGTAAAGTGCAGTCTTAGATTGTTTAGATTTCATCAGGCTTTTTTTTTTTAAATGCCTAGCTCCACAAATGTTGGAGTCAAACCATGTCCTAACAGCCCAGGGCAGGTGACCAAGATAAATAGCTGTCAGCACAGAAACATCCCTTTGTAGGAAATTCAACGGCGCTAATAGGCAAGCTTATGCGCTACAACAAACCATGTGCTATTTGAGAGTTTAGCAAGAATAAATTGCTAGGTGAGGTTCACCACAACGTGGCAAAATTCTTCCAGGCTGCAAACATGCTTGCAGAAGGCATTGCAAATAAATGAAATTGTCTTTCGCTCTCTGTGTTGCTTTGTCTTAGGCATCGAGCTGATTTGCGAAAAGGACATTGATCTTGCAACGCAAGTGCAAGAGCTGCTGGAGTTCCTCCACGAGAAACAGCATGAGCTAGAGCTTAACGCCGATCAGACTCACAAGCGGCTGGAACAGTGCCTGCAGCTTCGACACCTACAGGCGGAGGTCAAGCAGGTTAGACTCTATCACAGCCATTAAACTGTGATGGCTCAAACGGGTCTTGAAAGCAGTGACAAGGCAGGCAGGCCCATAAGCCGGTTTCTGCCAACTTGTCTACCTTTCAAGGTACGCAGCATTAATCCCTTTCCTTCGCATTATTGGTCAGTTCCCAGGTCTCCAAGCAAGCTTGTACAAATAATAGTAGGGTCTGTTCTCTCCTCCATACATGTGTAAGGGCCATGACTATTCATAGGAATTATGCTCACGTTCCATGTAAAACCAAACCCATAGTTCTTAAATGGGAGTGTGCAGCCGAGCAACACGTGCGCTGGGGATACGATATGATGTATCCGACTTGAATGCATTGCGGAGCATCTGCCAAAAGCATTGTTCTGATTAAGGGATAACTGAGGACGCTGGCCGAAAGCTGACACTACTCTAGGTTAAGCCTCTTTATTTGGTTTTTGCACTTTTACCAATCTGTTAGGACCTCAATTGTATTTACAATTTTGTGGTTGAGATGAAAACCCATGACCACCTTTGACTTTAACTGAGTTATCTAACAACCTTACAAGTACTTCTCTGCTTTTTTCTGATGCCATTCCAGCTTAGTTGGCTGGGTTCTGCTTGTCTCCATTTCCCCTGCTGTTTTCCTTGGATACGTCAGACAGCTTCACTTTCTGCCTTATGCTGTTGCATGCTTTGCAGCATACTGCTGAGAAGTGCCACTTTCCACTCCAGAGATGGCTGCATTTCAGCGAGGTGACTGGAGCAAATTCTAGTCCGCCTATTAGGCATCTAACTGGACTTAGGCATCTAAGTGTAGTTCTGTCCCACCATGTTCCAGTCCTGCAAATCCATTAATGCATCTTCCTTTGTGATGCACTCTCATCTCACCTTTAAGAATGAGTCGCAAAAAAAGCAGTGAGGAGGCACCACCCATTTTTTGCACAAAATATTAGGGACTCGCACTTAGGTGCCTAAGTTCACCTAATAGGGGAAATAGGATCTGATTCTGTTTGCTTAGGTTTTAATGGGTCCTTTCTATACACCTGAAGTGTCCCAGGTTGAAATTTCCTCCATTCCAAAGTTGGCTTTTCTAAGCAGCACAGAAAGCTTGTTCGAACAGCTGCTTTAGTAAGCAGAATTTGGTTTGTGATTCCTAGAAGGCAAGTCTAGTGTACTAAGTGGTGAATGCCTGATGACAAAGAGGATAGAAATCGTCAGCGCTGGGTTTTTTTGCTCAAAGCACATTTTTAATGGCACATGACTCTAGGGAGATCTAGAGTCAAAAGTTGGCAGTGGCAATATCAGAGCATGTTTAAAAAGAAGCACACTCCTGTTTATTTTGCAACTGTAAAAGATACCGGCATAGACATCTCATAGTCTTATCTTTTGGGGGGTGGTTTTGGGGGGTTTTTCCCTTTTTTTTTTTTTAAATGGGTATCTTGCATTTCAGTTTCCGGTGAAGTGTTTTCTCTATAGAATTGGCAAAGTGTCTTGAAACTCTTCAGAATAAAAAGCATTGTTATTATCACCACCATTGTCAGCATCATCCTCTGTGGGCATAAAGTGTCTGTCTTTCCATGGGGTCTCCCACTTTCTCTATCTGTCAGAAGCATGCCACTCTCTCCTATAGCATACCTAGCTCTGGAGCATTTCCGCGCAGCTCTGTCATAGTTCACAGCCACACCAGCTTAGGCTAGGAGATACAGAGGAGTACCATCTCTGGCAGGAACCCTATAAAGATGGCTATTATGGGGTCCGAGCCCTTCATTTTGGATCAGACTCATTTTCATTGCCATTGCTTTCAGAATGATACAGCGGTGGCTTTGCACTCTTCATGCTGTTGACAGGGTTGCACTTGGTCTGCAAACCAGATGCTTGAATCTAACAAAATTTACGGATTCAGGACCAAACTGTCTAAAGTTGACAGCGAGTCAAGCCCAATCAGCTCTTTTGAATGAATGTTTCCTTAACAGTATTTGGGATCATCACATTTTTTTATTACTCTGTGACCTTTCAGCAAGCCAAGAGCTGAGACTCATTTTATTTGTTCAGCCAAATACTGAAAAGTCTATTGCTTATTAACCTATAAATTACTGTAGCTACAGCTTCCCCCTCGAAAAGAGCCAAATTAAAATAGATCTGTGACCTATCATGAGGTGGCTGTACTTGGTTTCCTGTGGGATGAGTCATATTCACAACCACTTAGTACAATTGAAAAAATATATTGATTTTTTGGCCTCTTGTTCATCTGCAATCTGGTCCAGGTTTCCTTCACTTTAATTTTAGAGCATCTAAGACGATGGATGTTCGCACTTGCATTACCAAATTGCATTTGGTCTGAAGGGTTGCTTGAGATATGGTTGCCACAGACAACTTACTGTAACTCTGGTGAAATACCGCTGACGCTGGAAAATCAGCTGAGTTCTGGAATGTGTACATGTGTTTGCATTTTAATATAATGGCTCATGGAAATCCAAAGCCTTTTTCCTGTCTATATCTATTCAAGTCTCATTTAGGAAAGAATTCTACTGTAAATCATATGCTTCAAGGGCTTGGACGTCAACACAATGAATCGAAGTTCGGGACCGCTGAAGTGGAACAACTCAAAGCGCGATGTTCTGTGACCCTGATCAGAGTAGAAATAGTATAGATCACTGGTTCTCAAGCTCTTTCAGATTAAGCAAGAGACCCTCTCAAGGACGCAACCCCTCCCACTTGGACGCTGCTTATTCTCTGCAGTATGAGCTTGAAAGGCTTATGCAAAAATGAGAGCAGAAAAGTATTACGGAAGCCAGATTGAAACAGACTCTGAAATGCAGGACTTGTAGGTATTTGGCCCTGGCTTCATCTTGGTGCAGTATATTTTTGTTCCCTATGTAATACCATTCTTAGTACCACATCTCCTGGCAGTACCCTGCTGTACCCATCTTCTCAGCTTGTTTGCTACCTAATTCATTCCTCTTCTGGGCTTGGTGCCTCTCCAGCCCTGGTGACTACTTCAGATTTGATCACAGCTCAATGTACTGAAAGCATGTGAGCCAGCTCTTCAGGAGACAACAGGATGTGCTTGATTTTTTTTTTGCCAAATTGATATGAAAAAAGAACCCTTTGGAAACCCGAAGCTAGTAAGTCTTGAACTGGCCTTGCTTGAAGACGGGCAGATCCTTCCTTGTTATGGTAAGAAAAGCTCCTTGGATCACCTGACCGGGACCCGGTGATATAGATTATTTTCACGTCGTTTTCTTTGAAAACCTCTGCCAAGGTATTTAGAGTTGTAGCGTTAACATGGCCTTGACTCTGCCTTGGAAACAGCAAGAAAACAGCTCGGAATAAAGCAAACTCATCATCACTACAGCAGAGAAACCCTTTTGTTTTTTTACCCTAGGATATGCCAGCTAGTCCTCAATTTTCATTTTCTATGTAAAGCCTGGTGCTTTGCCTTTTTGATGTTAGTGGAGCTGCAGGGTGTAAGGCTGAGCAGAATTTGGCCCTGGTGTTTAATTACAGAGGAGCTCAGAGAAAGCAAAACCCTGTTTGTAGGAAATTAGAGGGAAAGTTGATAATTGTTTCAGTGCGTTGTAATTATGGTTCTGATGCAAACTGTTTACATGGAAATTGTTCTGCAGGGCAAGATCGCTTAGCACTAAGAGGGGTCCATTGTATTATTGCTTTTTAGTTATAAATGAAATGATTAGGCCTCTTCAGAGAGTCTTGGGGGTTTATTTAACTCCAGAAGTATTTAATCTCTGCTTCAACAAAATGGATAAAATCTGTCATTTGTAAGAAATGTCTGCTTAAAGGGCATCTTTTCGTGTTAGTCTGTCTGCACATTCCCAGATAATAGTGAGCCTATTAATATAGGGAAATGATCAGAGAAGTGTCTGGGGGCTGTTTCAGAAGCTTCTATACAATTTTTTTTTTTTTAATGAAAAGGGTATTAAGCACCCTTGAAGAGTGAGTCAGTGTGTGAGCAGGGCTTGCAAACCAGATGAAAATATGTAAATTCTCACCTGCAGTCATTTTCTGGTCCTAGTTCTGACTCTGAGGCAAAGTGAAAAGGCTCGGCACGTATTCTTGCACTATCGATATGGTGCACTCAAGCAAGCTTTGGGTATGCAAATAAAATCTCTGCTCAATAGATGTAAAATAAAAACCTAACGGGGGAAGAAAAGATCTGTAAATTGCTGAGACCGTCCAAAATGAGACTCACGCCTTTCTGTTTGCAGCGTGGAGCCCTTGGAAGTTTGATTGTGTCACTAGAGTTCATTCGGGCCGATGTGGTAGGGGAAGCTTTGGCTGACTGCCTGGGGGCTCACTTTGGCTTGGGGGAGAGAGGGCAAGGATCCTAAAGTGAATCCTAAAGCACAGTTAGGTCCTAAAGTGCATGGCCTGGCCACATGCTGTCTTAGAGCAGAAGCACCCTGGGGAGGCCGTAACATGTGGTGCCTGAGCAAATGAGCCCTAAGACACCTGCAGGCACGTCGATTGTAAAACAAAGAGTGGGGGTAGACAGGGGGTCGGGCTTTGGTCAGGGGGCCACAATATGAAAGAGAAGCTGAGAGATAACAGGGAAGCCAGAGGAGATGGAAGTTGGCTTAAATGAGGTAAAGCAGATAAGGATGTAGGAAAGAGGTTGGCAACCCATAGTCAAATCCAGCCCTCGAAGGAAATGAATTTGCTTCGCAAAGGTCCGATCCAATCTGCATTTTACTAAGGGTGCACAAGTCTCCGGCCATCTGATCTGGTGCACCGATTGTCTCCAGCCTCTCCAGCCAGCTGCTCCAGGCTGCTCTTCCTCACTGCAGCCTCTGCTCACCATTGCTGGACTGGCTGGAGGAGAGTGGTGGCCCACAGCGCCAGCCGGGTTGCAAGGTGTGGCCCGGGTTAGCAAAAGGTTGCTCACCCCTAATCTAGGGTATTAGACTGGGTCTCACCCTCCCTTTCTGGAGCTGTAGTTGGGACATGCACACAAGAGATCTCACCATGCTTCAATCCTGAAAGGTCTTTCCAAGCTTAACAGTCCACTGGGCTAGTGTGGTTAAACTACACCAGTCTCTTAGACAGCAGCGCATGAGGAAGTAATGTGGCCAGCACCAAGTCCAGCCACCTTTTGGTTCTGCGGCCTGAATGACCAGGTGCCCGTCTACTGCTGAGTCAACCTGGGGCAGCCTTTGGCATGAGTCCAGAACAGGGCTGATAGTCCTGGCTCTCTGAGACACCTTACCTACACTTCTACAACTCCCCTTGCCGTAGCACGCTATACAGAAATTCGCAGAGACGCCCAAAAGCAATGCAAAAGGACTGTGATAAATAGGGCTTTGGTAGCAGACTAGTAGCAAAGTCACTGTCCACTTCTACACAATTTCAATTACCCTTTAGCAGATTATTGTAACACTGTCTAATTGTAGCTTAAATATCCTTCCTTTTATACTGATTAGCCCGGTTGCTATCCTTTGATCCTCTGTGCGTACTTTGCTTACAAGCAACTTCACAAAAGAGAACCTGTCCAAGCTTTAGCAAGGAGGAAGAATGAGGCTCTCCGGCAAGTGAAGGAGATTAACTCCAATAACATACCTCCTTATTGCAGAGGCTTATTGCAGAAGAAAGGAGTTTGCAAACCGTCCGTTCTGCGATCCTGCCTGCAGCTACTTCTACCTGGAGCTTCAGAGAAAGGTTAAACCAGTGGAGTAACTAGGACAGGGCCCTGGGCTGCTGGCTTGGGTGGGGGAAGGAAAAAAACCCCAGCTACTGCTACAGCTGCACAATCACACTGGCTGCATGGTGGCAATCGAAAGTCCTCCTGGGCATGTCTACATGTGCCATTAGAGGGCAGCAATACACTGTGGAGCTTATTGCTTTGCAGTGTATTGCTTCCCCAGGCACTTGATTTACGTGTTCACGTGGGAGTACGGCTCCCTGAGCCGTGTCACAGCAGCCCCAGCTGGCAGGGGCCCTGGGGGTCCGCCTGCCAGCCTGGGGTTGCTCCGACACTGCTGCAGAGGGGCTGGGTGGGGCACGAGGGTGCTTCAGCACAGGGCTAGCCAGCAGGCAGCACAGGCACTGAAGCACCCTTGTGCCCCAGCCAGCCGGGTCAGCATCTACACGTGTGCTGCTACATGCAAAAAAACTCCAGAGCAGGATAGGACTTGTATTTACAAGTCCTATCCTGCGGATTTTATTAGTTTCATGCGCCCTAATAGGGGAGTATGTGTAGACACTGAGACATTTACTGCACAGTTAATTAGGCAACTGCTTAGTAAACATCTAGTGTAGATGCAGTCCTGTGTGTGGCAGCTGCCCCTGGTGCCCAGCCACTTTGTTAAGCCTCTGGATTAAACCCTGCCCTTTCCCCCAACTAGTGCAGGTAGTGGGTCATGCAACATGGTGCACTGGGAGAAACCAGTTTCTTCCTGATGTCTCTAATCACTTTGCACCCTGAATTCTCAGGAGTGATTTGCCTTATTTGCTCTAATAACTCCTACACCTGATAAAGTATACTGGACGTTATCCAGTCTCACCACTAAAAGCAGTGCCGATTAAGCTATTCCTTATATTATTTATAAGCACAGAAACTGTTGATGAAGCTTCCTGACTAGGCAGATGAGGATAAATAAATATGAACTAAGAAACGAAGGGGTTGGGATGGAGGATAGATGGTTTTACATTGCTGGTAGACTTCCAAGACTCCGCGTGCTATTCTTTCTAGTGGACACTTTGGGCTTTCTGCTTCTTGATCCACAAAGTGAGCTCTGATTTATAACCCAACATATGCTATTAGAATAATTTTTTGTAATCCTTATTACTGATTTATGTACTCCATTTGCCTGCTTCATTCAGTAATGCAGAAGACGGTTGTTTTTGATAGAAGCTGACAAAGATGTAAACTATATTGATCTCAAAGTAGTTGGCATTTAGACAGTTAATTTAGTTGGTATTGATCAGTTGTGCTAAATGTGGACACCCAAGACCAAGACAGTGATGCTTGTTGCTGTATTTAAACAAATGGACAAAGAGGAAAGTATATTAAAAAGCAGTTGGCCTATGTGAGGACCCGCGAGGCATTGCTTTAATGCACTCAGCTTTGCTCCTGCAAACATTTACTCATGTGCTTAAGTTGGAGAGAGTGACTGGTAAATGCTTGCAGAATCAGAGCCTAGCTTTGTATCTCTGCACCTGGAAAGAGCTTTTTTCCAGCTTCATGAGGTGGTGGCTCCTGGTAACGTGAAAAGAGCTCCAGGATTCAGAGATCTGAGGATGATTGGGATGAGCAGTATACATCTAACCTTTATTCTGTTGCCTCCTGTGCCACAAAGATTCAGGAAGCAGCAGGTGACTGCTGAGCTGAATACAGACTACATTTAATGTGTTTGCAACGTGTTTAATGTGTCAACATGTTTGCAATGATGAAGGTGAATTTTGCTTTAATTGTCCAACAGATCTACTTCACTCACGCTCACAACCCTTTTGTACTTGGCTTTCACAAGTGATTGAGCTGCACTGGTGCAAATCATTGGAGAATACTAATTTCAGAATTGCATCTTCAGTTGGGTGTACCACATCTGGCTTTATTCAATGCTAAAAGTACCTCCAATTCATGAGAATGAAATGTACCCCAAAAAGTTAAGTAAAAGCGTTGTACGATGGAGCTCTGAATACAGTCAATGGGCTCCCAAAAGTGAAGAAAAAAGGCTGAAAACCATCAGCCTTAATGTCTGATACATGACAACTGCTCCCTAAAAATGTCCTGTGATATTCTGATTGCTTCCTTAAAACTAGTGATTATGCTCAGCTGTTCTTTTTCTAAAAGAAATGCTCGGTGCCTTCTAAATTCTCAAAGGCCCAAGTCCCATCACAGCAAAGATGTAAAACTGTATGGGTTATGAAATTGCCAATTCAAATTGTGCCAAGGCAGAGGGATCCTTTGGTTAAATGCCTTCAAGGAACAGAGTAGTTTTGTACCGTGGTACAACGTAGTCCGTAGTTTGTAGGTTACTCATCCGGCATATTATACAAACTCCTGGACAAAAGATCACTATATGATAATCCCATTTTGTTTTCTCTGCATCTGTGTTGCGTTTTGTACAGCAAGAGTAATGCCTGCTGATGAAATGGAGAGAGCTGAAAAATGAAGACTACTGCAGTGCTGATCTGTGCCGAATGCTATTTTCTACAAATTAGGGTCAGCTACATGTGTAGACTGGTTCCTTTTTTTTTTCCTTCTATGTACAGATAATTTCCTTATCCCAGAGGGAGGCACAGGGCAGTGAGAAAAGTGATATACGATGTAAAGGGAAAAAATTGTTTCTTTAAGGCCCATTAATGAGTAACTTGCGGGGAAAAGGTAAATTGCTATCTAGAATGTTGAAGCAATGTTATTGAATTTCAGAGCTCTATAGATCATGAGCTACGCTCGCACAAAGGATTGTACAGTGAAGATTTCCAGTGCATTTGCAAACTGAATGCCGCAGCCTGCACCAAAGCCCACATAAATAGAAAACAGGTCTAATGGAAAGTCGGTTTTAACCTTCATCTGGCTTTGGATCAAGCCTTTGTTTAAACCAGTGGTACCATTTGCAGACTAAGCTAATACTTACTGGGTGCGTCTACATAAGCAGAGCTCTGCAGTAATTAGCTCTGCAGTAAAATCTCTCCGTCTACATGTGCGGCCCTATTAGGCCGCAGTAAACTAATAGGGTGTGTCCAGATGGTTTCTGGGAACAGTGCATGCTGGGATGCTGGAGAACTGCATATTGCTCATTTTATCTCAGTGGAGCAGCCTGAAGTTATCCAAACACAAGCTAGGTAGCCCAGCCCACAGTTAGCCTGTGCCTGAAGTGGTACAACTTTGAGATGCTCGGAGTTAATGAGTGCTGCTGGTGAGCATAAGCGTGCAGATGCTCATGTTTTAAATGCCTTTAGTGTGATCTCAGTCTAAAATGTAACTTCATCCCAAAGGTCACTGAAACCACGAGTGCATTGGATCCAGCAAAACAGGCTTCCCATGTAACAGTGTGGCCACAGGTCTGGTGGTTGAAAAAATACACTAAGATGCGATACAAATGTGCATTGCTATCCACTGTGGACCCCTAAAGTTAATGAGCCTGACTGATCTCGCTTAGGCCTGGGTGAAATGTCTATATGCTGCTTTAACTAAGAACTCTTCATTGGCTAAATAGATGTGAGTTAAAACAAAGCAGCTTTTAAAAGTGAACACGCAACCTTCAGACATAAATATGGCCAATGCTTTCAACAGGAAGTGGAAGATCCTTGTGTTTAGTTTGAACTGTCCACCCTGTTGTTCTCCTTTTCATCCCTGTCCCATGGTATTTCCATAGAGGAGCATTCACATTTGGGAGTAGAACTTGGAAGACTTGGGCAGTTCTTTGCCCTCCGAGTCCTGTTGCAACATAATCTTTTGAGCAATGGCTCCTGCAGTGAAATCTTTTGTCCCTTTGATGATCAACGTGTATGTAAAGAAATCCTCAACCAAGGAATTACTTTCTGCCCATCTGCACAATTTTTTTTGAGGACAAAAGCATTAGCAGATGGTGTAATTGCAAGAACCAGTTGTATTGAAGTACCCTGTCAACATCCCTTCTCTTTGCAGGTGCTAGGCTGGATTCGGAACGGGGAGTCGATGCTCAATGCCAGCCTCGTCAATGCAAGCTCCCTCTCAGAAGCTGAGCAACTCCAGCGAGAACATGAGCAATTCCAGCTGGCCATAGAGGTAACACCCTTGGAGCAACCTTTTTTTCTCTTTCCCAGAAAAACCATGTAGATGGGGATTGTCTGTGAGCCATAAGTCAAACCACTGTGAACTTAAAGAAGGGAAAAAGGGAAATAAAAACAACCTTTGAAAAGAAGCAAGAATTTTTCTGGGTGATAGCTCCAATTGGACCACTTGCATGGTGAGAGAAAGCAAGACAACCTCTCGAATGAAGTGCATTCTCCCCAATTCTTCTCTAAGTCTCTTCCAACCATGCAGTTGGTCCAGTAAAAGATATCACCCACAAAAATCCTTGCCTCTCCAATATTTCTGGGCCATCATGGCTACAACATCACTCAAACACTATCACAACTTTGAACAAGGCGATTTATCTCCATCTTCATAACCTGGCAGGGTGTTAACAGTGAAATAAATAGTGTATCATCAATAGCGAATCCTTTTGCTGTCAAGTGTAAATACAGGCACTGGTGAGAGCTGCTCACATGCACGCACCCTCATCAGTCCTTTGCTAAGAAACAACATTAAAATTCATAGATGTGAACTCAAACTGGGAAATGTTCACAAAGCCTGGTTCTTTCTCAGAACAAAATTTGTAGCTCATTTCTAGGGCACTCACTTATGAATATATTCATCATGGAGCATTATACAGCCCTCTCAGAGGAAATCTTTGTTTGACTTAATTCTGCTGCCTTTGAGCAAACAGGGAAAGTTCAGCAAACAACTGCTTTGTCATAATATTGGTTTGTTAGAATGGGGCAAGAGACAAGAGGTTAAATTGGGGTGTAGCTACAACCTCTGTGCATAGGACAACAATGCCTCACAAAGGCAAATTGTGATTTCAAACACTTCCCTTCCCAGTTCCAGGTACACAAAGGGTGGAGGAGCATAGGGAAGGTAGCAGGCAACAGAAGCTGCATGAGGGGCTGGACAAGACGGGCCATTTTCTGCCCTCGTCTTTGTGTGCATGCAGACATCCACGTAATTACAAATAGAAACAGGAATATATGTACAGTATAGAATAATAGAAAGTTAGGGCTCAGAAGAAGGGACCTCAGGAGGTCAGCTAGTCCAACCCACTGCTCAAATCAGAATAATTTCCAACTAGATTATCCCAGACAAACTTTGTCTAGCCGGATTTCGAAAACCTGCAAGGATGGAGCTTCCACCACCTCTCTGGGTAACCTGTTCCAGTGTTTTTACTACCCTCCTAGTGAGAAATTTCTTCCTAATAGCTAACCTAAACTTCCCTTGCTGCAACTTGAGCCCATTGCTCCTTGTTCTGTCGTCTGCCACCACTGAGAACAGTCCAGCTCCCTGCAGGGAGTTGAAGGCTGCTATTAAATCCCCATTTGGTCTCCTCTTCTCTAGACTAAATAAACCCACTTCCCTCAGCCTCTCCTCATAGGTCATGTCTCCCAGCCCCTGAACCATTTTTATTTCCCCCTGCTGGACGCTCTCCAACTTGTCCACATCCTTTTTGTAGTGAGGTGCCCGAAGCTGAACACAGGACTCCAGATGTGGCCTCAGCAGTGCTGAATAGAGGGTAATATCACTTCCCTTGATCTACTGGCAACACACGTACCAATGCAGGATGCTGTTAGCCCAGGGTGCCGTTAGCCTTCTTGGCAACAAGGGCACACTGCTGGCTTATATTCAGCTGATTGTTCACTATAACCCCCAGGTCCTTTTCTGCAGAGCTGCTGCCCAGCCAGTCACCCCCAGCCTGCACTGGTGCAGGGGATTGTTCTGTTCTAAGTGCAGGACTTTGCACTTGTCATTGTTGAACCTCATGAGATTTCTTTTGGCCCAATCCTCCAATTTGTCGAGGTCACTCTGAATCCTAGCCCTACCCTCCAGCATATCTACTTCTCCCCCCAGCTTGGTGTGATCTGCAAACTTGCTAAGGGTGCACTGCATCACGTCTTCCAGGTCATCGATGAAGACATAGAACAAAACCGGCCGCAGGACCGACCCCTGGGGCATCCACTTAATACTAGCTACCAACTAAACATCGAGCCATTGATTACTACTCTGAGTCTCATGCTCCAACCAGTTTTCTGTCCATCTTACAGTCCATTTATCCAGCCTTAGCTTGCCTGCAAGAATGTTGTGGGAGGCCGTATCAAAAACCTTTCTAAAATCAAGGTAGACCACATCCACCAGTGTCCCCACATCCACAGACCCAGTCATCCCAGCCTACAAGGCAGTCAGGTTGGTCAGGCATGACTTGCCCCTGGTGAACCCATGCTGACTGTTCCTAACCACCTTCTCCTCCTCCAAGGGCTTACAAATGGATTCCTTGAGGATCTGCTCCATGATTTTTTGCCAGGGGCTGACGTGTGGCTGACTGATCTGTAGTTCTCTGGATCCTCCTTTTTCTCTTTCTTAAATATGGGGACTATGTTTGCCCTTTTCCAGTCATCCAGGACCTCTCCTGATCACCATAAGTTTTCAAAGATGATGGCCAATGGCTCTGCAAGCACATCAGCCAACTCCCTCAGCACCCCTGAGTATATCCCATCCAGCTTTGTACACGTCCAGCTTTTCTAGGTAGTCCCTAACCTGTTCTTTCACCACTGCAGGTTGCTCACCTCCTCCCCAAACTGTGCTGCCCGGTGCAATAGTCTAGGGGCTGCCCTTGCCTGCGAAGATTGAAATGAAAAAGGCATTGAGCACTTCAGCCTTTTCTGCATCCTCCGTCACAAGTTTGCCTCCCCCATTCAGTAAGGGACTTGCACTTTCCCTGATCCTCCTCTTGCTACCGACATATTTGTGAAACCCTTCTTGTTACCCTTCGCATCCCTTGCTAGCTGTGTATTGTGTTTTGAATTATATTTGCTCCATTCTAAGGGATGCATTGCCTTCTCCCATTCGTGCTGACTATGGAGCACCTGCCTGGTTCCTTAGGCTTTATCCTAATAGTTAATGTTATCATGAGAGAGTGAAGGATTAGGGCGGCTTTCCCCAGGCCTCTACCTGTAATCTGCACATCTTAAAGACAACACAAAACACCATGAAGCCCTTTGCCACCACCTTTAAAATCACAGTTCCCCTGGAAAAAAACTCTCTCTCTAGAGGGGCTTTTGAAATAATTCATTGTTTAATAATAATTGCTTCATATGGTCCTGTAAACCTCAGGGAACCTGGTGTCTCTTATCAGTGCTGTTAATTGTCGTGGAAAGAGCATCTCGACAAATAATCAACTCTGATCCAGTTCCACTAGGATTAACCAGCTCTTCACTGAGGTTGCTCCTTAAGGAAAAATAACCAAAGTTTAGTTGCCCCTTTTGCATCAGCTAGCTGGCACTGAATCACACTGAGCGGATCATAGCCACACGCAGCACTGTGGGGCAGGAGACACTCTGCCCGTGTTATCACAGCTTGCTGCCCCTGTGAAATGCTTGTACTCAGTGGTGAATGCAAGCCATACAGGGAGAAGAGGGTTACAACACTGTGAGGAAGAAAAGTTGTAAAAGGAAAAAAATAGTAGATGAAATATTAATAGTGTTTAAAGCTCAACATGGGGGAGAGATCTGCAAAGCACACGGGGGAGAAACAGGTCTCTAAAGGCATCCTAGATGTTGAATTCAGTTTTCATTTAAAATCCTTTAAAGTCTATTTAAAATAAGCACCACCACCCTAATAGCAGTGAAGCCGTTGGATATTAAATTCAAGCAGTTGTTCCTGAATGGCTTCCTAAATGTTTCTGTTGAGTATTAATCCTTTTTTGCTACTAGCTTTCTCTGCCTTGCATTATTCAACAGTATTTACTGGACACGTTCTAGCCCCTTTCCAGGTCTAGAGATTACATCATAATGCCAAATTCACACTCAATACTTTTAACAGCTACAAATGAAACAAAGACCACGAGTGTCTTCAGGTTTCCATACAGATCATGAAAATCAAATATTGGCTCAACTGTGCCCCATCCTGCAGCCACTTGAAAGGATGAGGAAGAGCTACTGCTTGTCCTTCTCCTTGGGTGCAGTAATGCACAGTAGACTAATTCTACTGCTCAGGAGCACGTCATGGCAAAAGCCATGCTAATGCACAGTAGAATTAATCTACTTCTCATTAACACCACTAAAAGACCATACCTGTCATTGCAGGTACTGAACTTAATGTGCAGTAACACCAGCGCATTAATTCATGTGTAGACATGCCCCTTGGGCAGCCTAAGGGTTGCCCTTGCATTTGTTACAATGCAAAGTCCACTACTTGGTTGCTCCATCTCAGAATAGCTTAATAAATGTGGATTAAGTCAGTGGATTTATGGCTCCATCCCTCCGAAACTCATAGCTGAGCAGCTGTGTGGGTGGAGAAAGTACACCGTAACTCTGCAAGTTTTATATTAGAGTATGGACTGAGGAAGAATGATGCCATTTTAAGGGCAGGCAGGTAGGATTTACCCAGTTCAGCTGATTATAATTTTTTCTTGTAATGATATCATGTGTCTACTCTGCTATCCAGTGGTAAGAAAAGCAAGCTTAATGAAACAAGCTAAGTTACTATGATTTAGTTTTCATGGCCTGTGAGATTGGAGCTGATGAATAAAATAGTTGCAACCTATCAGCTGATGTGCACTCACAAGCAATATGTCTTGTCAGCTCTACCCCCCTTTATAATGGTTTTCTTGTTTGATTGTTCGCCGTGTAGTGCTAAAAGTTAGCTATTCGCTGACCAAAGTCAGGGGATACCCAGAAGTATCACAGCCTCTTACTGTGATGATGATGCAAATTGCAGCCGTGTGTGGCGCAGGTCTGGAGCACCCCTAACGCAGCACAGTTCAGCTACAACGAGAGTAAATTTACACATCTGCTGAAGAATATGTTATATGACACATTTCGGTTTGGTACAGGGCTTGGGGAGTTAAGATCGCTCAGATCTTCAAAAGCCTCATGGACCTTTTTTCATACAAGCAGCTCAAACTGTTATAACTCCATTATATTATAATGAACAATGGTTGAAACTATTCTTCTTCATTTATTCATCACAATAACTGAACATAACCCTTTATCCGTAAAATGTTTCCTTTAAGTCACTGTAATATTTTCTGGGGTCACTGGGTTGAAATGCTATGCAGATGCTATGCAGCGGAGTACCCTTACTCTCATAAATACTCCTACTGCTGCCAATGGGAATACTTACATGAGTAAAACTCAGAGTTTGAATGTTTCAGGATTGGGCCCTTTGTTTGCTAACTGCAATATATTTGCTGAGATATTGTTTTTTCAACTGAAGCTGGGTGCAGCAGACCCTGCATGGAAGCAGGATGTGAGCTCCTGACGGCTGTACGTTAAATTTGGGGCACAAAAAAAGGGCTTAATTGATTCAGGATTTTTAGGGTTGCAGCCAAAGTAGCAGTGCCTGGGACCTGCCAGTGCCTGCTGCTCTCCAACTTCTACTAAGTTGCAAATTGTGTCAATAAGATGCACCAAAGTACTTGACAAAAATAATTGTTCATCATAGAAAATCTCTCTGAAAATGTTTCACTTTCTCACATCTCCATGCTCACACCTCACCTCACCTCTTTACCATATGCATGGCACATCTGTACAAACCTCTCTTTCCTCCCCTCATACACAGTCCCTCTTTCATGCCACTTCCTTACAGAAGACGCACCAGAGCGCCCTGCAGGTACAGCAGAAAGCTGAAGTGCTGCTACAGGCTGGACACTACGATGCAGATGCTATCCGGGAGTGTGCTGAAAAAGTGGCACTACATTGGCAACAGCTGATGCTGAAGATGGAGGACAGGCTCAAGCTCGTCAACGCATCGGTTGCTTTTTATAAAACCTCCGAGCAGGTGAGGTGAACGATGCCTTCTCTGCGGGAATCTGCATTGTTATAACCTATGCTCTATGTGTGCGTTCAACTTTTAATTGAAATGATAGGAGCAAATGTGTGTATTCAATTTTTCATTGAAACGATAGGAACACAATCAGTTTCTTTTCTTCCTTCTTCAAAGAGGGAAATTCTTGAAATCTCATTTTTTTTCAGCTAGAAGAAATGTTATGACCTGTTTTTTCCGATTTGTTTTTGGAGGTTTTTTGCTCCTTGCCTTATTTTAATTAGCTTTAGCCAGATAGCATGAGGCTAAAAATGTAGTGACTTCTAAAGTTACTGCTCCCAAACCAGTAGTGCAAGTCAGTGCAGGCAGTTTTAAGCATCGTACATCCCCACTGTCTTGCCTTGCTCCAGGAGTCCACCCATTACAAAGCACAGTATGTCAGCTTCGGCGATTGTGTCAGCTTCTCCAAAGGCCAGATTACTTAATCCCGTGCATAAACAGGTGCAAGTCCTATTAGGAATTGCACCTGCTTCCCCTGGCACTGAATGTGGCTGGCACGTAGATGCTCAATGGTATTATGTGGTTTAATTTACCGCAGTTATACACTGTGTGCTAGCATGGATATTGAATATCTTTGTGGTTGAGGTTACAAAAGGAAACAGTGATTCACATTACAGGCTGCAGGGTTATTCATACACAGTCATATATATGTGTGTCTGTGTATATATGTATGTATATATGTGTGTGTATATGTATGTGTATATATATGTGTATATGTATAGATATGTATATGTATGTATATGTGTGTGTATATATAGGTGTGCGTGTGTGTATGTATGTGTATATATATACATACACACAACCACTGTGGATCATCCTGACCATTGTGGAAGTGTTTACCAAACTCTGCAGAAGATTTTTTTTCTGCACGCTGATTGATTACACAGACAACTGTGGGCCTGGTCTCCAGTCGGACTTGCTGAACTCATTTTGAACTCTGTTCAAGGCAAATGCAAACCTTGCCTTGAGTGTCTAGGAAGAAGTTTAATCAGGGTCATCCCTTGTGTCCACAGGGTTGAAAAGAATCCATTTTCTTGAAGGAAGTGGAGAAAAAGAAACTAGTGAGAGACTCATTAATGCCGCAGGCAGTAAGATGTGCTACCAAAGTATTTTAGCCCATAGTTCGTCAAATCTTGTATCTTCTGGTATATTTAAATGACCAGTGAGCATATTGTAGTGTTCACCAGTTCATTCAGTAGTCCCATGAATGTGGTGAATGTTTGGAGTAAAGATATTTCGGATGATGCTCATGAACTGTTCACTGAAAAAAATCTTTCTTCAAAGCGTGGGTTGTGTGACTGGTCGGTTAAGTCGCGTGATGTTTGCTCTGTTTCCTGGCTGGAAGAGGATGGCTTGAATAACACACTGGGGCTTTGATTCTCCCAGAAGTAGAGTGGAGAGTCCTGCAGGGAGCTGGATTTGGAAGACAGACAAGGCGGTGTGGGATTGTAGGGTTATAAGAAATGTTCAAATTTTTTCTCTGTCTTCCTTCCACAGAAACATTATATTGTGGGGCCACCCAGGATTTCCAGTAAATGCAGTCTCCTCTTGACTGTATTTACAGCAGACTTTACATGAATGGGTCTCTTCGTGTTAACAAAGAGGAAAGTCATTTACATATAAAGGAGCAGTCCTATTGTGAAAGGCATGAATGTAATGCTGCCCCACACTTTTGATTAGTTGCTTCAGTATCAATCCTCCAAAACATCTCAAAGCATTCAAGAACCCAGAAATAACCCTCAGCCTGGTTGCACGGCCTCACTTTTGGGTTTGGCATGCATGTAGCAGAGCTGTGCTTCTCAGAAACCCCAGGGAAGTGGTGTGACATGCCCTTAGACTTCCAGTCAGTCTCTGTCAACACCTACCAGGAAAAGCCCTTTCACAGACTTAAAAACACTGTCTTCATGAAAGGCTGCTTTGCACATGGTTTACATCCTGTATTGATTTAGTGAGCTCATTTCCCTGAAAAGGTACTGAAATAAACCACACCTGCATTAGCACCTTTGCCCTGGCACACCTGCAGCTCTGCTAGAGGCCTCCACCAACTTAAACTATTATCAGGTTCAACCAGCTATTGCAAAAACTGCATCAAAAAGTTCAATGTGCATCTGAAGCCAGTTAGTTTTGGTGTAAAAGACCCTGTTTCGGGACAGCATTTAAGCATGTGTTTAACTGGAAGCATGTGCTGAGCCCCTGGACCTCGGTAAGATTTAAGCACCTTAAACAAAATAGGGATCATTTCCAGGGTTATCTTCTGAGTCCAGACAGACTCTTCTTCCAGGATAACCCACAGGACTTCGCCGGGATTATTGCTTGGGAGGGAAATAGTCTGTGCCCTACAACAAGATGAATCAGAAGGCCTGGCCACAAACTATAGAGAGCTCTTAGCCAAAGAACTGATGATAATGCCCTCTGCCCAAAAGTGCTTTGCAGCTGAGTGCCTTGGCTGTTGTGGACAAAGTTCTCAAATGCCTGTGTGCGAAACATTTTTGGCCATGCCCATGGTGGAGCTAGGCAGAAAGGAGCTGCACTTGAGCAGGGCCGCTGGAAGCTGTGGTTGTATCACTGCAGCTTTTCCCCTGCCCTCTGGCTGCACTGGGGGCACAGCTTCCAGCCCGTGGGGAACTGGGCCAGAGCTGGGCAGCTTCCAGCTGTGCTCACACTGCAGCTGTGGGGTGGGGAGAAGGGCAGAAGAGGCCACAATGCAGACACAGCTTCCAGCTCCCCAGTGCAGAGCCCCACAAGCTGGAAGCTGCAACTGGAGATCAGGGGGAGGGAAAAACAGTGGTAGCAGCATGCTGTTTCCAGCTGTTTGGCCCTGGCACAGCTTCACACTGGCTAGAAGCTGCACCCATACTGCAGCCAGGGAATGAGAGGCTGGGGAAAAGCAGTGGCAGCTGCCCGGGTGCAGTTCCCAGCTGCCCAGTCAGTGCATGCCTCATTGCACTGAAACTACCCAGCCCACACCAGACTGGAGTGGGGTTGTTCCACCCTGAGGCTGCCGGCCCCTAGAATAGGTTACTTCTGGTCTAATGGATATTCTTCATCCTGATGAATGGATCAGGATCGGAGTGACTGAGATGCTACATTCTGGGTTGTGCTTCAGGTCTGCAGCGTCCTGGAGAGCCTGGAGCAGGAGTACAGACGGGACGAAGACTGGTGCGGCGGCCGGGATAAACTGGGGCCGGCAGCTGAGATTGACCACGTCATCCCGCTGATCAGCAAACATCTGGAACAGAAGGAAGCTTTTCTCAAGGTCTGATCTTCCTTCTCTAATTGTTCAGAAACTTCTGGGTGAGGAAAACAGTTTATTTATGTTCTGGACAATTTATGGCCTGGAAGGCAGAGAGATTTAGAGTAAGTTTTGTGAGCTTTTAATCTGAGCTCTGCTCCTGACTCGCAGTGTAAACTTTGGACAAGTTTCCTACCTCTGTAATAGAGATGGTAGCACTTATCTTAGATATGTGTTGTGAGGGTTAATTAGGCAATGTTTGTGTTACACTTGGAGCGTGTTGATTGCTTTTCAAGTGCCGACTGTTTATCCTCAAACAGAATTATGAAAATTAAGGAAAAACAGAGCACAAAGCATTTTTACATTTGCTTGTTTCAAACCTTTACCATTTAAATTCCACTCTCGGACCTAGTAGCTAATGAGCTAGAGATAGATGAAGTATTTCTACCTCCTCTAGGCAGCATGTGAATGGCTCCTGAGCTTTCCACCTGCCATCCAGGTGTTGCTTTTTATGAGCTGCTGGGGAAACAGGTATGGATGTCAATGAGCTAGCATCTTGCCACCCATTCAAAACAATTACATGGATGCAAAACTACTCACACAGGACAGTCTTAAAAAGAGAAATGTATGGATCTCACATTGCCAACAACAAGAAGCAAATTTCATGGGAAGTTAATTGGTTTTAGCTCAATTTACAACGTATTTTTTTTGAACCAGCCCTTGTATATCCTTATCATTAAATTGCTTCAAGATATAAAATCAGCATAGTAGCTAAGTGTTTTAGTACATTAGGAGAGGGGTTTTCAACTGGGGGTATGTGTACCCCTGGGGGTACTTGGGAAGGTCCCAGGGGTACGTGCGGGTGGGCAGGGATGGAGCGCCGCCACCCACCGCCCCGTGCTGCCGCCTCCCAGAAGCAGGGCCTGGCAGGGGTGAGGGCACGGCGCCCCTCTGCGGGCCACACAAGTGCCACCCAGCTGGTCAGACACGGCGGGGGGGGAGCTCGCACACGGTGGCCAATGCTGCCACCCACCACCCCACTGCCGCTGCTCCATGTCCGGCTGTGTGCCACTTCCCCCCCAGCCACCGCGGGTACACCTATTAAAAAAGGTTGAAAACCCCTGGATTAGGAAGTCCCATCCCCAAGGCTAATAGTTCATTAGCTGCCGGACTCTAGACGTGACATCAGCTGAAGCTCTCCTGAGTACTTGTATCCATAAGGACTTCCTTGTGCAGAACAAGTGAAGAGCTTGCCCTTCACAGGCTCCGTTTGGTTTGCTTTATATGTTCACTGATAACAGGGTATTGCTTTTCTTAGGCCTGCACATTAGCACGAAGAAACGCTGAAGTATTCCTCAAGTACATTCACAGAAACAACGTCAGCATGCCTGGAGTAGCAAGCCATACCAGGGGGCCTGAGCAGCAAGTGAAAGGTCAGTGCATTGATGCAAGGATAACAGAAAGGATTTTTGTTTTTCTCTTGGCTTCCTGAATGTCAGGGAAAGGAACAACCATCTTTGTAAAACTTCCAGGTATATTGACCCCCCTCCAGAGCTGAAACAGCAGCCATTATCAATATCTTTAATTGGAACGCTGTAGGACATTTGAAAAGGAGGCCTTGTTGCTTGTGTAAAAGGAAGGAAGGGAAGGGGCCATCAAACACCGGTACTCCATAGTTTCTCTTGTCTGTTAAAATATCACAGTAAAATCCCATGGTCTCTGTTCTGCAAGAAGTCAGACAGGGTGATGGTAAGGGTTGTCTTCCTGCCTTTAAAACATCCGCATGCATATGTACAAATAGGTACAAATCAAATGCAAGATCCCATCGTACACCTGTCCAGCCAAGAAGAGGAGGAAATCAAAACTAGGTATGCTTGTCACTGGAATGCAACTCAGATCAATTTGTGCTTTGTTCTCGAAGTCATACTGCTATGTCAGGCAGCATCCAACAGAACCGTCCTTCACTAGGCTTTTTCATTTGGTTGAAAGCATTTTGTTTGCAACAAGATGATACATTTGAGGGTTTTGGCTCCATTTCCACTCCTCCCTGCTGCTTAATCGAACGGTTGCTAATCTGTGCCCAGCAATCCTGCAAGGTTCTGATAAAAACACGCCAACGTGAGTCTGCAGAACTAAGTCTTTTTATTATTATTATTGGCTTATTTGTAAAGCTGTAGAAAGGACAGATTAATGGCGATGCCATCGTTATATAGTGTTGGTACCACGAACACAGGAGCATGGGTTTGTTGCATTCAGTAAAAGGATGAAAATGCTTCAGAACGAACAAAAGGGTCTTTTGTTCCCCTTTCTACCCGTATCAGTTTTCTCAGTTTCAATCTTATCTTAGTCAGTATTATTTAATATTGTTCACTAACGTGTCAGATCAGTTTCATTATCAGTTTTCTTTTCTGCCTCTGTTAAAAAGGATGGGCAAAACCATTTAAACTGGCTTCGGCTTGGTATTTAAACATATACGTTAGTATATTAACTTGCAAGTGGTGCTTATTGACTTCAAAGAGGCACGTTTAAGGTTCAGCTCTGACTTTCCTTTCCTGAATCGTGGCTTTAATGCTCAATCCGGTCTTATCTGTGCAGGGCAATTGGTTGAAGAATAATCTATTCTAGTGTATCTATCTGTTTGAATTCTCTATTTGTGAAGAAAAGCCACTTTCTTTTGGAAGAATTATTGCACTTCCAAAGCAGAGAAATGATTTTGCAGTGAATCAATTTTATTCTGGAATAGAGTATCTACACAGGGAGCTAACCTAGATGTCCATTATGGAATTCTGCTCAATTTTGCCTATAGATGAGCCCTCAGACAAAATTTCCATTGCCTGCAGTAGGAATTTTACCTATGTAAGGAGAGGAAATTTTTGCTAATAAAATGTTAAGAACAATAGAATTATTATGTAGTAGAAAATGACAGACTCCTGAATAGGGCTGGAAATCATGGTATCTATTAAAATTGCAACCTATAAGGTAACTCCCAGTGCATAAAAAAGTAAAGCTTCAGTTCCTCGGCTGCTGCAAACCAGTATAGCTCCATTGCAGCCAGTTTGAAATCTGGCACCAGATCTCTTCTCTTCAATTAGTGCGGATGGTATATTTGCTACGTATAATATCCCTTCTAGCAGATGGTCCACACAGAAGTTAAAAGATAAGAACTGTTGTTAGCTAATTCCGGCTATGGACAGACATTACAGGCTCCTACACACATGCGGGAGCCTGCTCTGATGCACTGAAAATCCAGCGCATTGAAGCAGACTCGATTAATCAGCATGTGCATCAGCACGTGTATCAGCATCAGCACATGTCTCCGCGCTGAGAAAATGGTGGTGGCGTGCTTTGAAATAAAACATGTCCGATGAGCTTTTGTTCAAAGCGCCCCACCACCATATTTTCAGTGTGGGGATGTGTGGTGACGCGGATATAGATGATGCATGGGCGCTTTGAATTAGCGCAGCTCGCTAATTAAAGTGCCCAGCACTGTGCTGGGAACACGTGCAAACATGCCTTGCTGTGGCACTTGTAGTGCTACAAATGTATTTTTAAGTGCTACAAAAATGTAGTCCTACAGGCATGCACAAGTCCCCAGCTGGATCACCGCAGAGTGACCACAAAGGCATGTAGAGGTGAGTTTTCCAGCCAGGGAGCATGCAAGGGGGTTGGTTGTCCCTGCAGCTCTGCTCCCATCCGCCCGCCAAGGGAGAGGAGCCCATCAGTAGGCCCACTTACTACTCACTGGCATCCTGTTACCTCCCAGTGCCAGTCCCCTGGCTTCCACCCACTGTCTGTCCCCATGTTTGTAGGCATTACAAAAGTAACGTCTCTCCATGGGCACAGTTAACTCCTGAGATGTGGCACGAAGCGCTTGGGTTTCATACCCACTAACAACCCTTAATGCTGGTGGTTACACATGGCTTAGTAAGGTTAAAGTGGAAAGGTTGGGCAAATATTTGTCACTGATACTATATAAATCTTGTGTGTGTATAATTTTCAAGTGAACCACCATGTCGATCATCTGGGTTTAATCGGCCTCTTCTACAAAGACTGCAGAGTGCGGTTTGGCTCAGGCTGAATTTTATGGGAGAAGGTATGTCTCCTTAGGGCACCAGGCAGCAGCTGAACTAATGCAGCTGCTTCATGGCCTTGAGGTTGCACAAGCTTCTATCGATGGCTTTCTTCTCTCGATGTGGGGCAGAGTTAAGTGGATCAGGGGAGACAGGCTGATCACAGGTCCCATCCCTATCTCATGAACAAAAACTCACTGCACAGGGCTTCCCATGGTACTCAGGGATTCACATCCCCCTCAAAGACTCCCCACACTGCACAGCTGAACCTCACCAGTCTGTTGTGTCCTCAGAGGAAGCGGAAGCAATTCCTCTTTGGGATCAAACCTTAAATGCTGCATAAACACCTGGCACGTCTACAAAGATGCAGTATCCTCTGCTTGGCCCTAAATGCTGGGTCATCTCCAGCCACTCCATCAAACGGTGTAGACTCAAAGGGAAACATTTCCCCTCCTTCATGTTCAGACTCCTGAATTAAGCAGCCAGATAGACGATGGATTGAAGATACAACGAGGAATGTCCATTGATTTATCTGGCACTAGGTCTAAGCATCTGTTTTGTTCAAAATCTGTTCTGGTCGCCCTCCCTTCCCCTAACACATGCACACTTCCAGGTAACACTGAAACTGCCTAATTTTCAAAGACTTTTCACTTGAGAAGAAAATCATTTTGTTCTCTATTTCATTTTTTCAACTGCCCTTTTTTAACCCCAGGTTTCTTTGTTAAGAAGCATTGTCCGAGGGATGCTGCTTCTAGGACTTCAGCCGCAGAGAAATGAGCTCAGTTTCTAGTGGCTGATGGCCACCTCTGCTTACAGAGTCCATCATCATCACAGCCTTTTTGTTTTGCCCTATAGCTATTCTCAGCGAGCTGTTGCAGAGAGAGAACCGGGTTCTTCATTTCTGGACCTTGAAGAAACGGAGATTAGATCAGTGCCAACAATATGTGGTCTTTGAGCGCAGTGCCAAGCAGGTAGTGTAATAATCCCATCCCATCTGTCTCCTTGGTTTTAAAAAAATATCACTATTGTTTCCACATCACTCATTTATTCTGGGTACCTATTGCATCCCTTGAGCCCTACGTGCAGTCTGTTACTAGCAATTGGCAACTGGAAATGGAGAGGGGAAAAAACACTGTTTGGAGGTAGTTTTTATGAATGCAAATCTTCTGTCTGTTTTCCTCGGGTGCTCAAAAACAAGCCGAATGACAAATTAAAATCTCAGATATCTCTCTGCCTCGTGCAATACACTGGGGTGTTTGGAGGAAGGGCTCTTGGTACACACAGAAGTGATCTATAAAGTGATAGATGTTGCACATCATCAAGTGGGTTTCAGAGAAACTGGCAGAGTCCAAGGGAGTCTTATATGAATGTAGCTCAAAGTTTGATTAGTTCAAAGTTGGAAGCTCAAAGCTGGAAGTTTTGCTTAATTAAAGACAGCAGAATTTGGCTGCCTGGGTGTGGAAGAGTGCAGTATTATGGGAAAAGTAAGTAACAGAAAGACATATGTCCCTACTGCAACTTCTGCATGTTTTTTCAGGTTTGGGCCAAATTTAGTGGTGATTTATAAAGTGATGTGAGTTATGTGTTGGTAAATGGATACAAATAGGTATTAGAGAGTCCAGTAAGAGTACAGAAAAGTCAAGGTTATCCACAGTCTGGCCCTTGTATGATCAATCTTGACAGTGAAAAGTGCTGATGCTTGGGTTGGGAACAGGACTGTTACAGTCCAGAAGTGTTATAGACAGGCCATGTGTAGATGAAATGAGAGGTGCGTGTGCATGACACTTTAAAGCGGGCTAAATGCTTTTGCACCGCTTTAATGGTGTCAGTGTTTGCATGCCTCTGCGGCGTATTGCGCATTAATTCCAGCTGCTGTTTGAAATTCAGTGGCGTAATGCACTTTAAATGACTTGGGGCACAGCAAAGTAAAACTTGCTGCCCCTACAGGCGTGGAGCAAAGCGCTGGGCTCTGTGCAGCTCCACAGCTCTGCAGGAAGCCCTGCAAGCAGCCTGGCAGCAGCCCGGGAAGGCAGGCTCCACCCAAGAAAAGCAGCGAGCCTGATCTTTTTTTTTCCCCCCTGGAGCCTGCCTGCCTGAGCTGCGCAGGGACCCGGTGCTTCCCTCCACGGCTCTGGGTGCCTGCAGGTGGGTGGCACCCGGGGGGTGCTGGTGCTGCCACAGAGGGAAGCACCCCCACCCCACCCCCACAGCCCAGGGACCGCTCCGCCTGCCGGCAGCTCGCCCTCCCCTCCCTGCCAGAGAGGCAGGTAAGTCAGCGGGATGTGCGCACTACACAGGGGTTTAATCAGCCCTAAATTGAAGCGGTGTTTTTTAAAACCCACCGCTTCAATTTAGGGTCCCCATTTCGTCTACACACTCCCCTAATGTCTGTCTGTAACACTAAGCTCCACAATGTGTACATTGTGATTTTTTTTTTAAATGTCTTTCTCCTCATCTCCCCCCCCCATGAGGTTGGAAGGTGCATTTATTCCCATTTCACAGGTGGGGAACTGAGGCACAGACAGACTATGTGAATTAGCTAAGGTGAGGCAGGAATTTTTTGAGTAATAGAGAAGTGAATCCAGGCCTGTAAGTCCACGGCTAGAGTGCCGACCATGGTTCTTGCTCCTCCTCCCCACCACCTCTGCACAGGAGGAGATGACTAGACAAGGACCAAGGCAAGGGGAAATCAAACCTTAGGTTGTTAAAGCCTACATGTCAGGAGAAGGAACAGATCCTAAAGAGTGAGTGTGTTGATATAACACCCACTCTTCTGTCACTTAGTTTTATTAATACAAACCCTCTTGCTGGCTCTAGTCTATTTGCACTGATCCATCCTACCAGTGCAGGTCAGCTGGAAACCTAGTGAAACCCCCAGCTGGAAACCCAAGGAACCCTTACCCTGTTACTGGGAAAAGGCTGGGGGACAGGCAGAGCCTGCAAGGGCTCTTTAGGAGTAGAGTCTTTGTGACTCAAGGGGAAGTGAATACAGACACGAACAGCACGGGAAGAAGAGACGGGGGTTTAGTAGTCCCCAACAGCCCTGGTACAAGTGCCCTGAAACCCAGCAGGACAGAACAGACCAATGAGAGGTCACTGAGCTTATGCTACGTGATAGGCTAGACTGGCCAGAAGGGGAGAGGCTCGCCCTTAGGCCAGCAGGCTCTCTCTGGCTTTGGCTGGGGAAGAACCTGGACCTACCAGTTGTGGAGCCTGGAGCGGCAATAAGGGAAGCCCTGGCATGCAGGCAGAGAAGCTTCCTTGTTGTTTTAAGTTTGCCCAGGATGGGGATGACTTTGAGTTCAGCTTATTCTTTATCACGTGAGTATCTGGATGGGCAGTGTCCTTTGTTTTGCAACGGTAAAGATAGTACCTACCAAAGGACCAGATGATGGCTGTAGGGGTGGTTAGGAGGCTACACAGGGGCACTGGAGAGGCACTCCAGGTTTGCCCTTCCAGGGGCAGGGCGCTATAGACAGGGAGAGAGTGGAAAAGAGGGAGATGGGACAGGCTGCAACTGTGGGGTTAGAACCTGAGCCCCGAGAAAGAAAAAGGAAGGAGCCAAGAAGCTGAATCAGAGCAAATGAGCCCAGATGAGAGGCGTATAGCTAGAATAACCTGCAGGCTGAGGCCAAGAGGGCTGAAGTCTGTACAGGGAAGTGCAGGACAATTGAGTGACGCCTGCAAGGCATGGGTGTGACTATAGGGGAGGACAGAGGCCTTGATTAGAGATACCAGAGTCACAAGCTGTGGCTGCCAAGTTTGAATCATGCACACCGGGCATGAATAATTCCACCTGGGGCGCAAGCTGCCTGCAGAAAACGGGAAAGGTCGTGCTAACAAACAGAGGGCACAGAGGTCAGAGATGTCGTGAGTCCACTAGGCACCAAGCAGATCACTCCAGGACTCGGGGGCAGCCTCCCAATCAGCATAAAATGAACATCAAGGTGTAGCAGATAACATAAAGAGGGGGGTTATACTGAGACTTGGAGTAGGTGCAGGACTAGGGTGCCCACAGAGGGCATCTCAGCAGCCTGGAGGGCCTGTCCTATCATACCCCCACCCCTGCAAGGGTTTTCCAGGGTAGGGAGCTCCCGGGCCGTGTTGAACCGCAGGATCTTTTCCTCTGTAGTAATCTTACCGCACTTTCCCCACCTCACACATCCCCACTGAACTGGGCCATCTGCTTTAGCTGATTACTTTTCTTCTTGCACCCTCAAAATATGCTTTCATACGCAGCATGCAGGGGGTCCTGTTGGAACTGACCTACTTTGTTTGGAAGGGTTTTCATAAAAGTATTAGATTTTGAAATACAAATGTATTTATTTATTTCCCTTTTGGTTGTTTTTTGACATGTGCAGGCCTTAGACTGGATCCAAGAAACAGGCGAGTATTACCTCTCCACCCACAACTCCACAGGGGACTCAGCAGAAGAAACTCAGGAACTCCTTAAAGAATATGGGGAATTCAGAGTACCCGCCAAGGTAAACAGTGACAGCATCTAATGATGGGGTCTGCTTTATTGAGCCGGCGTTTCTGGTTCCTTTTAAGCCTTCCCCTTTTCAGGGCTCAGAACTGTGCAATAGATATTTTCCTTTGATTTGAGGATCTGCTGTTGACAGGATCTGCTTTTGACGGGAGGGAATTTTCTTTTGAGCACTGTGACATGCCACTTTTTTTAACCAGACATGAGCACAAAAAGGGAATCTTTATCTTGTCAGTCTATTTTGTTTGCCAGAGGTTGTTGCTCTGATTTAAAGGAGGACAAATAATTTGTATCAGGAATAATTTGCAGGAAGCTCGCCCCAACTCAATCCCCAAACAATTGTGTAAAAGAAAATAATGTTGGATAACAAATGAAGTACGAACGCTGGATCATCTCTGAGGTCATCTTGGACTCCATAGCTGTTCCTTCTATGATAACAATTACAATTTGTTTCTTTGATTCCAATCACACTGACCCGGGTGACCATTCTGCTTGGTAGGAGTGGCCCGTTAATCCCACTGAAGTACTTCTGATGAATGAATTTGTAAATGCCGGGGTGAGGGCCGTTGAACACAGGATTCTGTTAGCAAGAATCTATTCATTTCTGTGGGGCAGAAATCTAGAACGCTTGCTTCCAAAATGAGACCTTATATTAGACCAACTGAGCAACTGCAAAAAAAACAAAATCTTTTTCTGCTGGGGGGTTATCTTGTATTCAGGGCCATCTTATATTCAGGTAAATATGATAGTTGTTTTTATAAGCAATGTCCATCAGAGACAGGCCTGGACTCAAGCCCTGGATCTAGATATCTCCGACTTCTGGCAAGAGTTTCTGAGTTAGATTCTAGATTTAAATCACGCTCTAAATTTAATGACTGGTCCCCATGTATATAATGGATTGAATCAAAGCCCCAACAATCAAATATTCCTGGAAAACAGACACTGCTGACCAAGGCAGGATAAATGAGTAGAATCAAACTCTGGGAGGTTTGAAATCTAGCTGTGAATGTGACAGTTCAGTTCCCTTGCACTTTTAAATGGTATTATTAGAACTAGATCGTTGATTTGCATCTCCAGGGCTGGGATCAAAGCCTTTGACTGGCAGCTCTGCAAAGGACTAGAAATTTGGATTCAGGTCCCATTTCCCTTCTAGAGCAGAACTCGGCGTTTCAAGCCAATCTCTCCTGCTGATACATCAGCGTGCCCATGACAAAATGTTCCAAACTCTTGCCTAAAAATGAATTCAGAACAAATCTGTTTACTTTGCAGTGGGTAATTTTAATTCTCATTCACTGGCTGAGATCCTACCCATGACAAATAACAGGGTTTATACTTTATAGGTTCAAAAAACCTTATCATTTAGGAGGCAGGCAGGGGGGAGGTCTATCCAACCTGTAGCATACTTTTCTTATGTGTTTATGAGCTTGCGTCTCCAGGCGATTTTCCACCCTGCAAGCTGAAGTCCATTGACCGTCATTGAATACTTGTAAAAAGGGCATTCCCTTCCTGCAGGATGGGTGGGAATTTAAAGCTTTTGGCTATACATAGGATGGAATAAAGTCTTTATTTTACTGGCATGTGTAGGATTGTAACCTGGTTTGAGCTGTTATGTGGATTCAAAGCAAAAAAATAATAACAATAAACCCATGGTAACCAAGGACCCTGTTTTGGGCAGCAAACCAAGGAGAAAGTGAAGCTTCTCATCCAGCTGGCTGACAGTTTTGTAGAAAAAGGACATATACACGCCACTGAAATCAGGAAATGGGTCACCACGGTTGATAAACACTATCGAGACTTCTCTCTGAGGATGGGAAAATACCGCTACTCATTGGAGAAAGCCCTTGGAATTAATACAGAGGTACTGTAAGTCAATGCCCTGTTATGATACTGTACCCAAAGCTCAAGTCCTGAGGGCTAAAGAACGATGTACAGTTAGTGCTGAAAGATGTCGCTCATTTATCAGAAGAGATTAGAATTTAAGTAATCCAGAAATAGCCCCGCCTGTAGTGAAAAATATCTCGTGAGACGTCAGTGGATTAACAGGACAAAGTGTTCAAATACATGTTTGCAGGAGTTATAAAGAGATCATGTGGATGCTGGGAAGGAGCTCCATCAAGTGAAGCAGTTTCATGTTAACCGGAGCATAAATCACAACTGCTGCTTCTGTCTTGAACTGAGACCAGCACTTAACTGTAAAGTCCCACAAGACGAATTGCTCTCCATCCACATCTCAGGTCTCCAAAAGCCATGATATCTGGCCAGAGAGGCATTTGCTTCTCCTGGTATTTCTTAGCCAAAACACAAGTGAAAAGGTATGTGTGTGTTGAGAGGGGAACCTTTCAAAACACTTTTGGATATTCATTCTGCATCAGGAGGCAGCAGAGAAGGATGCACAGAGATCCTCCACAGTCAGATGTTCAAGACACTTTAATGGCCCTTTGCAGGAACCTGGCTTTATGCAACACTGCTAATTACTTTCTAGAACAGAATACCAGTAGCAGGAGATGGTTGAATCTGGCAGGGTAAGGAATCTGTAACATACCTTTTACCTACACATCCTTTGGGATAGATTCCCGCTGACTGATTTGGGACCAAATTCTGGTCCTTTAACTCAAAGGATTAAACATTTTGAAACCAACTGCTTTAATCTTGGGCCAAGACTGGGGTTCCCTTCTTCCCTCTTTACAGTCCCTCACTTGCAATGATTGGGACTAATTGTGCAGTAAGAAACTATACAGCTAAGCAGAGCAATGGTAAGAAAGGTTTAGATCTTTGTCTACCCATTTGTTCCTAGGTAGAAGTAATAGTAGAGACCTTTTTTAATTAATAGACATGCAATACATACAAATTTCCACCAGGAGAAACGTAAATAAAGAATGCTGTTGAATTCTCTCTTTCTTACTTTAATTTTTCTAATTCTGTCTGAATTAATTGATATCTTTTTTTTTTTGTCTTCTTTTTATTCCTTCTTATCAATTTACTCTAGTGAGTGTGCTGTCTTTTACACAGCACTGGGATTAGACTGAATTCAAAATATGGGTTGTTGCTGTTTATAGGATAACAAGGACCTGGAACTGGACATCATTCCAGCTAGTCTTTCAGACCGGGAGGTGAAGCTGCGAGATGCTAATCATGAGGTTAATGAAGAAAAAAGGAAGTCAGCCCGAAAGAAAGAGTATGTGCCAAAAACAGACACACACTGCAACGATTACATGTGGGCATGAACGGTGCTCTCAAGTCTATGTCCATCCAGTTGTGTGGCCATTAGGATATGGGTGCAAGTGTTTAGAAATTGTGGCCAAGTGTCACTGAGAGTTTTTAAAAGATTTCATTTGAATTTCTTTATACTGAATCAGTCCTGGGATAGTGAAGGAATGGGTCAGACAGCTGAATTAGACCAGAGTGCTTATAATAGCTGAGAGATCGGTTATCATCTGTCTGTATTCAGAAGGTGCACGCATGGATGAGGAGGGGTAAGAAAACTTAAAAATAATATGAATATGTGCAGTTATACAGTGATTCCAATGTAATCCTTTATATTCAGGTGGGAAGAAAACTTGATCCTACAGAGGTAAAGAGTTTGACCATTGATTTTAAGAGGCCAATATTTCACGCTTCGTTTAAGTTCAAGTTTAGATAGGCTTAAAACCATCAGAACTAAGAGGTTTTACAAGTTGGGAGACGCTCTGTTATACCTAAAATATGGGAAAGCTTTAATTTGACAGTGCACGTTTATTGTAACTTGTAAATTTTAATATATTGTGGGTTGAATCATTTGCACAGGGGAATACTCTTCATACCTATGAAATGGTAACTACACTGGATGGTCTTTATGAGAAACTGTTTATAAGTTAGGGGACACTGGCACGTTATGTGTGTTGGTGTTTTATTAAATGTCGGCCCAAATTTTGAAAATTTGCAGCGTTTCACCTTCTCCCTGAGACACCAAGGTGCTCTGCTTCTTTTAGAGGAACCAGGTGTTGAAAACCCTTCTTGCCTTTATCTAGAGCTTTGGTTCCTGGATACCCAGTGACTTGGCTACCTAATGGTTAAGACACCTATAGATTTGTCTATATGTCTGCATCAAAAGGGGTTTGAGCAGGGATGGCGGCTGTTCTAGATGTGTCCCTGTGTGCCCTTGGGCTCTTGCAGAATTGTGTCTCTCGTATATTGAGCAATACCTCAGTCCATCAGCAGTCACATTGAAATCAAAGCGCTACTCAGATTTAGTACGAGTCATTCAAGGATGTCCAACATTATGGGCACTTTTGAAAATATAGGTGTTGTGGGCCAGTCTTGAAGCCTTTACCTATGGAATATGCCCATGAAATTGCTGAGAGTCACTTGGCAAAGAACAAACGCATAGAAAATAAAACACCCTGGTATTAGAGAAATATATTATAGTGGGATTTTATTCAAATATGAAGAACTGAAATACCGGTAACATTGCCCATAGACGGCTAGAAAAAGAAGTGATATTTTATTCATAGAATAGAAGGTGTAATCTGGGGTGGTTGAAAGGTTAGACTGGAAATGCCTTGATTTATGACAACAACAGAAGAATGCTTTTCTTATTATAAAAACCACAGAGTGCATAATGTACAAACTGACTGAAATACTTTCCATCTACCAGATTCATTATGGCTGAACTGCTTCAGACAGAAAAAGCTTATGTCAGGGACTTACATGAATGCTTAGAGGTAAGTTATTTGCTCGGTAAGATTATAGTAGATTCAGTAAAGATGTGGCATCCTGTCTTATATTTGTACTGTCAAGGTTGCACTACAAAACCCTGGTATCGGGCACTGACAGATCCCTGGAAGGATGCTACGGTAGGTAGGAGTTAACTTAAATTTAGTTTTTCTTCCTCCCTTCATGTGTCTCTACAGGAAGATAAGGAGGCAGAGCTAGAGGAACCAGGCCAATCAGATTCCTCTGGTGGGAGTTGGGGAAGCAATAGAACAGGCTATTTTTTCACTGGGGAAAAAAGATAAAAAAGCAAATATTTCTATAAAACAATCTTTGTGTAAATGTCCACAAGGTCTTATGAAATCTTCTCTGTTTAAAAAAAGCTTCCTTCATCCTTTCCAAGAGCAGAAACAATTCCATGTAAATTAGGTGGCCACTTCCATAATTGTCACTAAATAATTTCTACATGTTGCCTTATGGCGATGTAGCGACATGCTGCATCGCCATACGGTGTGTTATGGTGAAGTAGTGATCATGTGCGTCTACATGTGATCACCGGCTACGTCGCCATAGCAGCGCGCTCCCCAGGTACAGTGTGCTGCAACAACGATGTAGCGGCGAAATTTCACCATGCGTGGCATAGTAACGCCCATACTGTGCCATGCTTTACTACTTCCAAAAGGAAGTACTCCAGCACAGTGATATGTAGCCGCATCCTGTGAATGCTAAATACGTCATTAATTACTTGGTAACGTTAACTAGAAAAGAATGAATGAGTTAATCCATATGCTAAAATTTGTTTGTTTATACCTGTCTTTGAATCATTTGTATCCCAGATTCTGATAAAAAATTAGACTCTGTTCCTGGATAATTTGTGAGCAGAAGAAAGGCTGGATTGCTCCTGTCGATTCGTTGCTATAACTAGTATGTCTAGTTTTTCAAGGTTTTATCTGAGTCTGTCTTTGATACTGAGGATATTAAACCTCAAGGAGAGAAGAGAGATGCTAGCTTTCAAGGCCCTGTACCTAGAAAAGGGATTGGATGCATGTGTGGAGAAAGCCATTGCTACTGAAGCTTCACGCTCGTCTTGCCTTTGAATATTTCTGCCTGTAGTATTGTGTGGGCTTCATCAGGGAGCTCTCGGTGAGACGGGAAGATCTGGTTCTGTTGGCACAGTTTTGCTCCCCTTCCTGACATCTTCTGAGTGTCGGCCCCTTGAAGTCCTCAAGAGATTTGTCATGGGGTGTTTCCAAGCTATTGCCTTTCAGTTTGTTGGTTTCTGCTTCTTCATGATGTAATTTGTTGCCTTGTAGACCTACCTTTGGGAGATGACCAGTGGAGTAGAGGAGATACCCCCTGGGATACTTAATAAAGAACATATAATCTTTGGCAACATTCAGGAGATCTATGACTTTCATAACAAGTAAGTCTTCCTAACATTTTCACAAATATTTCCTGGTTTAAAAAAAAAAAATTACTGTATTCTGGGGGCATCTTTAATTAGAGTGGATCTTGGGAGCTGCTCTGATTGAAGCGCCCACAGTGTCTCATACGTTCAATGGCCTGTGCTTCAAAATGGTGGTGGGGGCGCTTGAAAGCTCATCCAACGAGCTTTAGTTAAAGCGCACTACCACCATTTTGAAGCACAGGAGCGCTGAATGCCCATGACGCCAAGGCTGCTGGAGCGTGCTAATTAGCACGCTCCAGCAGGCTGGATAAATTACATTTATTCCGACACGTGCTGAGTAGCATGCATCGGAGCAGGTGTCGGGCATGTGTATAGGTACACTGGATGTCTGTACAGTGTCTGCTAAGAACAGGTACGTAAGTATTTACAGAAGTGCACGATATAAACTTAGGGCATATTGACCACTTCCTTTATTGCTTCTTTTTTCTAATTACATCTTTATTTGAACTTTGCCTATACCTGATCAAAAACCTAAAGCCGGACTAATAATAAAAAACATGATCGTGTTGCTTTGAAGTGCAGTAAGCTCTTTTCATTCAAGTTTCTCAGAGCAGTGTAGAAACATTAATGAACTGAGCTTGACATATCTGTTATATCCATATCCATCTAGCCATTTGGGAAAGCTTGACACAAAATGATTAAATAAAATTCCCCCCATTTTATAGATTGCTTTCTCATCAAGTATATATTGCAATACCTGTATGTAAAATAATAGGCTTCACCCTGTTTAAGCACTGTTAGACCAGAGTTTTGATTCCATCCTAGCCATACAAAATGGATTTAAATCAAGAGAACATCTCTGACTGGAGAAAAACCAATAAAAATTAAGGTAATCTCAGGAAGCAAAATAATCCTGATAATCATTTGATTGAGAATAATTTATTATGTAATGCCAATGTACTCTTAGGCCACTTGTAATGTAGTGAAAGGCTTCTGGATTTGATTTGAATTTATATAGGTTGGGCAAGACTTCTTATACATCCATGTTTCGTAGTTAAAGTAGGTTAGCAGGGGCCTTTCCTGTGCCACTGAAGTCACTGGGAGGTTTGCTGTTGATGTCAATGGATCCATCCCTGATGGATTCAAAGAATTAATCCCAACATAGTAGATAGGAAAGAGAAGATTTAAGTTGTAAATTCATTTGTAGATTCAGTCTGTCTTTTGAGTTGAGATTAAGTCGGTAAAGTGAACCGTATAAATAAGTGTTGCTTTTAAATCTAGCAATGCCTGGAAGTTTGGAAGTCTGCAGACTTCATGGCCAGACTGCCTGCCCGGCTCAGGCCCCGGCCCCAGGCCCTTTTACCGAAATGGGCAGCTCACTGCCTAGGCAGCAGCGTTTGCTTGCTGCCTTCGCTCTTGCAGCCAGCCCCTGCTCCTCTGCCTGGGCTGTTTTTCAAAGTAACAGGAGGCTTCTAGTTCCCTATTACACTCCTCCAGCATCAAATTTTGGGACCTGTGGGGAGCCCCGCGGACTGGATGACTCGGCTGCATAGGCCAGATGCAGCCTGCAGCCTGAACTTTGGGCAGCACTGCTCTAGATTTACTTAGGCACTGTAGTATGATGGACATAGCTTATGGCAAGATGCTCTGAATTTCTGCATGTGTATGCTTGCTCTCTGCATCCTTGCTTGAACACAGAGTGGAGCTTTGAATGGCATAATTTCTCTCCTTCCGTTTTTCCCCTTTGTAAAATGGGGATAATACTTTCCCCCCCCCCAACACATAAGGTTGTTATGGAAATTTAGTTAATTCCTGCACACCATTTTGGGGCTTCATGAGCACTGTTCTTGTGCTAAGCCATCAAAAAGAGAAGGCTGAGAGGGGACATGGTAGCAGCTGACTGCTACATCAGGGGAGTACATTCAGGGCTTGGTGAGCAAGTGTTCACCAGGGCAACCTTGGGGAAACCCAGGAGTAATGGCTACAAATTCCTGGAAGACTGTTTCTGGCCCAAAATTAGGAAAAATGTCTTCACAGTTAGTGTCCAGACTGTGGAATAAGCTCCCTCCAGAGATGTTGCAATCGCCTACCCTGGACATCTTCAAGAGGAGACTGGACAGGCACCTTGCTGGGGTCACTTGACCCCAGCTGTCTTCCCTGCCTGGTGCAGGGGACTGGACCCGATGATCTTGCGAGGTCCCTTCCAGCCCCTAACAATCTCTGAATCTTCTTACCTCTTGCTGAGCCACACAGCAGGCATTTCCGAAGGAGCTGTTGGAGTCAAATAGCAATGCATTCCTTACAGTAACACACATTTTCATTTCCAAGACATGAGGCATGTTTAATTAGCTTTATAATTAAGATGCTGTTAACAGTAATCTTTGCCTGGGTCACTCCGCTTGCCAGAGGTGTTCAGCCATGCAGAGTTACTAACTAGAGCTGTCTCTCTCTCATGTTTTCAGCATTTTCCTGAAAGAACTAGAGAAATATGAACAACTGCCTGAAGACGTGGGCCACTGCTTCGTCACCTGGGTAATGAGGCTTCCCATTTCAACATTTATTAAAATGATTTCGTCTGACCTGTACAGGAAATGAGCTTTCTGAGGGCTGTCTATAGGACACATGGGGCTATAGTGTGGCCTGGACAAGTAAATGAGTAGGTGGCCCCTTACACCTCAATGCTCCCACCTCGCTCGGCCTCTGGAACGGAGGGGTAGAAATGTCCTGCCCATCTCTCTCGTTGGCTCCACTTCAGTCACATTTGAAGAATTTAACTGGTGTGCATTTGATGCAAGCTGTCTGAAAGGGGCTTAATTTCACTTGATATATACCTTTTCCTTCAACGCTACCAGTCACATTGCTAATCGGTTGAATTCTCTTTCTAATTCCACTGTCAAGTACCAGCTCTTCTAAATCTTGTACTTTGATGTGTAGGAGTGGTCTGATCTGGATGCTACATATCCAGCGTCCATGTTGTTTGCAAGGGTATGTGCATACACAAGAGATCCTGTGGTTATAATAACACTCGGTTGACTTTTGATAAATTCTGAATTTTAAAAATGAACCCCCCCCCCCCAAAATATTTGCCAAGAAGTCAGAATCTCTGACATTTTGTTAACATTTCTGTGAGATTTGACTTTTCTTAATAGTATTAGTAGAAATTTTAACTGAGGCCAGGGAACATTGTCATTTACCAAAAACCCAAATGATTTACTAATGATTTTAAGCAGGATTGTAATTGAAAAAAAAAATCCCATGGAAAAAATTGTAAAAAAAAATTTTTTTTTTAAGATGAGTGATATAAACTTGAACTTATTTCTGGAAATTTTATCCATTTTTAACCATTGCCGATCATTCTTTTTCTTAGCGTATATGAGAGAGTGTGTGTTTATAGAAGCGGCCTAGATTAAGTGAAAAACATATATAAGCTTTGTTCTAAGTCTTCACTGTTGTTTCAACACTTGCAAAAGTAGCCAAATTTAGCACTTGGGAGCCAAGAATAGACTTTTATGCACTGAAGCACCAGCTGAGCACCCAGATAAAGAACTGGATTGCAAGACTTAGCCTTCCACTCTCTGCAAGGGAGCCCCCCGGCTCTTCCAGTTCTGAAGCCCCATAGATGAAGTTCAGTAAGATGAAATAGCATTGCACAAATGCCTTTAATTTACCCTTTAAAAAAATCAATTGGGAAACAGAATGCAAAAGACTCAGTACAACCACCATTCGATTTTGGAGCAAACGAGGGAAGGCAAACATTTGAGCACACCTCTGAAATGTCAGCCAGCTTGAAGTCAATGAGGCTGCAGCAGTTTGAACCAGCTGAGTATTTTCACAGTGACTTGAACTCAGGCTCTGCCTAGGTAATTTCGCTAGAAGAACGTTCAGAGGCATCCTGACTCCAGTAAAATGTTCTTCGCTATTGACTCCCGGATTTTGCCTTACAATTCTGAATTTGTGGATGTTCACTGTGAAACTTTAATGCATCTCATAGAAATGAATTTACAACTAGTTTAAGTGTTGGCCTCCCACCTCATGCCACTTGTAGAGTAGTAAAAGAAAACTATCCCCTTGCAACATTTGGCGCACACAAGCTGTTTCGATAGGAGCCGTATATTGCCTTTAATTGTTCTTTATAATCTCAATTCTCTTGTTGCTGTTAGAGGGACAGGTTTATTGCTTATATTTATTCTTCTGCGCTTTAATGGGAGACTGTAGAAGCAGAGCGGTAGCTTATCTTGCTTTTCCCCTGATGTTTGTTTCCACAGGCAGATAAATTTCAGATGTATGTCACCTACTGCAAAAACAAGCCTGATTCGAGCCAGCTCATCCTGGAACATGCCGGGACTTTCTTTGATGTAAGTAGCCCTTGCATTTTCAGCATCCACACTGCTGCTTCTGGAAAAGAGAGTTTGTAAATCATAGTCCTTTCAATTTATTTCATTCCATTGCTAATGTGTCCTACTGAAGGAAGGAAAACAGGTATGTGCATAGTGTTATGGTGTTCATCACCCAGGGCAAATCACTGAGTGATTGCTGGGACTAATGATCCTTATGAGAACCTTCAAACCATAGGTCCTGTGCTGTCAAACCAACAATTAAGGTCTTTGTGGTTCTTATATCTTCTTTAATTCTGTTTCCAGCAACAAAATAGAACAAAAGAGGCTGATCTCATATTGATGCCTCCTATTGATGCTTCAAATCCAGTAACAGGGCCTGTTCTTATTGACTATTGAAGGCAATTATCCCATCCTGCAACACTGTCCTCTTCTCCTGATGCCTCTGGCATCTACTTACTGTAGCAACTCCTAAACCTAGTGATAAATGCTCATAGGACCTAACCCCAGTGTTGCAGATGGAGGAAACTCAAAACTTCCTGAATTGTTGTATACTGTATTCAAGATGCATTGAACCTTTTGAGCCTGATCATTCTCATATCCACATCAACACTATTTAGTCCTTTAGAAATCAAGGTGGTTTTCCTTCTTAACATTGTAAGTACTTCTCCTTTCCCAAACACTGAACACCTCCAGTTACAGATAAACTCACCCAGGACGGTTCCTACTGAGATACAGCTGATAGCACGATTATTACATGAATATGTCTATGTGTATTTGCTATAGGCCACTGATTAAATTGTTTCAGTTAAACTCAATATTTAAAGCCTTTAAGTTAACCAGAAAAAAATCAAAACATGTTCATATTTTTACTATAGTTTGTTCTGGACCACATAATGCTCTTTGTGGACTAGACAGATCCTCTTTCTAAAACTACTTTTGCTGATTAAAGGCAGACAAGGTTCTTTGGGTAGATGAGATATCTTTTATTAGACCAACTGAGTAGTTGGAAAAAAGTTCTTGGCAAGCTTTTGGGTACAAATACCTGAAAGCTTGCAAAGAATTTCTTTCAGCTATTTAGTTGCTTTAATAAAAGATATCACATCTACCCAAAGGACCTTGCCTTAGACCAACACGGCTACAACCAAAAACCTTTGCTGGTTAAATAGTTTTACCAGCAGGTGGCACTTGAGTCTATTTAATCGTTTAGAAGTGGCTTCTTTGGGACATGGGCTATTTCAAAAGATTTACATGTTTATCACTGCGTTCACACAGATTAAAAAGTATTTGCTCTGCTAAGCTTTTCCATCCCAGCTGTGTACGTTGGCTGGAAATCTTTAGCTATTTCTTAATAGCAAATGTTAAAGTTTCAGCATATTCATGTTTTGCAAGGGGTGATGTTAGTTATTTTAATGAGATGAAGATTTTGCTGCTCTGAAAAACAATTCAGAGTGCAAAAGGGGGAACGTGACTTTCCGAAAGAGAAGTTGAAGGAGAAAGGTCTCCCTCACCCTGCACTTTGTGCAGACATTTGCACCAGTGAAAAGCAGTTTAAAGCATTTTATTTCAGTAGTATTGCCTTGTGCGTGTGGGAGGGTAGAGAACAAAGCTATCGATATACGGTAACATGAAGAAGCTATTTTGGCACTCTCGGTCCACCTAACAAAGTTTGTTCAAGTGCAGAATATCTTGCTGAAAAAATAACATGTTCATAACAGCCTTCCGCTTGCATCGCACCTGAGAGGCACCTTAAACTGCTGCACAAAGTTGACTGCCACAGGAATTTCTCCTTCTACTTCAGATCATCCCTTGTACAAAAGCAGCACCTGTTAAAAGAGTATAACTGAATATCCATGGAAGTCACTGGAAGCCTTGTCATTCTAGGGATCCTTCCCGGAATTGGATCCTTGCATAGGTCTGAGTAAACAGATCACCTTTACATGAGCAGTGAGGCTGCTTCGATGCACTGCAATCACAGTGCGTTGGAGCAGACTCAATTAATGAAGTCTGCTGGACCATGGTAATTACTGCACTCCAGCAGACTCCAGTGTCATGCATATCAGCACCGCCGCGCTGAAAAATGGCGGTGGGGGCACTTTAACTAAAGCTCACTGAATGACCTTTACTTAAAGCACCCCTGCCACCATTTTTCAGTGTGGGGACTCTGATACGTGTGACACTCTAGGCAGTTTAATTAGATCGGCTCTTGGGGCCACTCTAATTAAAGTGCTCCTCCCCCCCCATAAATTGTAAGACCAGAAGGGACCTCAGAAAATCATCAGGTTCAGCCCCCTACACCAAGCAGAAAAGATAACTGGGGGTCACGGGACCCCAGCAAGCTGACTGTCCAGTCTCCTCTTGAAGATTTCCAGGGTAGGCGATTGCACCACCTCTGGAGGGAGCTTATTCCACAGTGTGGACACCCCAACTGTGAATAAGTTTTTCCTAATGTTGAGCCTGAATCGATCTTCCAGTTTTTGGCTGTTACTCCTGGTTTTCTCTGCGGGTGCCCTGGTGAACGGTTGCTCACCGAGCCCTTGATGTACTCCCCTAGTGTAGCAGTGAGCTGCTACCAAGTCCCCTCTCAGCTTTCGTTTCCTCAGGCTAAAGAGTCCCAGATCCCTCAGCCTTTCCTCGTATGGCTTGCCTTTTAAGACTCTGATCATACGCGTGGCCCTTCTCTGGACTCTCTCAAGCTTGTCCACATCCTTGTGAAAGTGCAATGCCCAGAACTGGACGCAGTCCTCCAGCTGTGGTCACACCAGTGCTGAGTAGACCGGAAGAATCATCTCCTTGGCTTGGCTGGAAATGCACTGATTGATGCATGCCAGAGTATTATTTGCCCTACTGGCTACAGCATCATGCTGCCAGCTCATATTCATACCGTGGTTTATTATTATTACCCCCAGGGCCCTTTTATTCGTGGTGCTGGTCAGTTTGGTGCCGCCAAGCCTGTAGGTGTTTTGGAGGTTGCTCGTCCCAAGGTGGAGCACTTCACATTTCTTGACATTGAACTTCATCAGATCCTGATCCACCCAACTTGCTAGCCTCCCAGAGCACATATATAAATGCCCCATATTGACTTGGCTATTTAGATCACAAAGCAGGAGAGAATGGCATCTCAACTCTGAAACTATACGACGACTAGAGGGAGAGAATATAGTCACCCCACCTGGAATATGATGTGGACACTGAAACCAGCACCTTATTCTTTTAAAATTAGAAGGGAATCCATAGCCCTCACAGCTTGTTTGATTCATCCTACTCTTTCCTCCCTTATACCTGGTGTCTTAAACTCCTTTCTCTTGTATTTATTACAGTAATCCATTCCACAGTACTAAAACTGTGCGTGGTGTCTTCATCCAGTGGCTTTAAAAAGCACTGATTTGACTTGACAGATTTGTATGATGCAACTCCAAATATAACACAATTCATAGCATAGCTGTTTCTGGCTGTTAATACGAATTGTCTTGGATATTCAACTTGTAGAGATCTGCACAGCATAGAAGTCAGTGGAGTTACACTAGTTTCTACCAACTGAGACTCTGGTTCATAGCCAACAGCCCTGATTTGCTCTTGCATCCACTTCATAGCTTGTATCCTTGAAGTAATTTAAGTGGTAGATCTGAGTGATGCTTTCATGTTTAAGCTACTGTCAGCACGTTTCCCTTCTGAGAGTATTGAAGCACGGCAGGTATAACATTGGATGGCACATGGTCGGGCTGAGTGCTCCACAGGAGACAAAAAACATATGAATCAGGGAGGATCTAACTCACGTAGCTGCCTACATTCTTCCCTCTTGCAATTTTTCTTCTCAAAATCATAGAAAAAGATCAGCCTATTAGTTGAGAGCAGCCCCCCCAGGCACCTTAGACTTGCATGACCAGCATTTGCCTTGCACAACACAATAAAGCTCACTAACTTTGGCAGTGTTACAGGGAATCGTGTTTCCGCACGGATGGAGCATTCAGGAAAAATTCCTCCAGTGAAGTGGATGTGAGATGTTGTTCCTCAGGAGGGAGGTGAGCAAGCAGGGTCCGTGTCTCCCCGTCATTAATTCTTCAAGAAATAGCAGTGCTGGGCATTTTAGAAAATGCTTTGAAGAATACAGATGCCTCACAAATATTTGGCGATTGGAAAATCTCACTCTGCTGATGGATCTGGAATCCATGATGCCCCACGCACAGCACTGCACAGCAGGAGTCCAGTTCAAGATGCAATTCCATGCTCCTGTCCTGCTGTCGATGGTGGTTTAGTAGCTGCTAAGGCCCTGGCCTTGCTCCTGATGGCCATTGCACACTGGCTAAAGGCTTGGATGCCTCACCTCCCCATTTGTGCACCCAGCAGCTTTTCTATCATCACAGCAATGTTTGCCTGTTCACATCTGCCGCGCCATCTATCTGCATTTGTTTCAGTGCATTCGTGACATGGGGTGACATTGTGTTTTGGACCTTTTAGAGGTATAGTAGGCTGTCCAGCCCATGGGGAAGTGGAGATAAAAATGGTTTTCTGTCACTGTGCTTCCTCCTGTCCCTGGGCTGCTCTCTGGCCCCTGCTTTAACATAAGGTGAGTCCAACCATTGGCGACGCATAGGGGGTGCACGCAAGTGCGTGTGCACCCCCTGAGATAGGGAGTGCACCCCCTGCAATTGGCCGCCGCTGACACTGCCGGCGGTGCCTGCGGGAAGTCGCTGCTTGCCAGCCCCCTCTCACTGCTGACACCATCAGCAGCATCTGCAGGCGGTCACCGATCCCTGCTGATCACCACTGACACCACCATGGCCACCTGCAGGAGCTCCCCGCTTGCCACTGCCATGCCACTGCCACCGCCTGCAGGTGGTCACCATGCCCCCCCAGCCTCCGGGGGCATGCACCATTCATGAGTCCAGTTAAAGCAACCAACCATCCCAAGTTTTCCACAAGAATCCCAAATTTCAGGGCAGTGCCCTGACATCCCCTGAAGAATCCCTGAGACAAGACTTCTGTCCCGAGCTTAGGAAGGTCTTTGTTGCATCAGGACCCAGCTGGGCACTGCAGGAATCCCCCCGGGAATGTGACTGTCCTGCCTCCGGTTCAGGATGCGGCTGTGAACTAGTTAAGTCTGTCTCACAACAAAACTAATTTATCTGCCCGTGGCACCACACTAAGGCGTGTCACTAACCAGTACTGGAAGGAAGAGGTAGGCCATTTCTGATTACAGAGGCCTGTGGGGACTCTGAGATTGTGCCATAGATTTTGGTCCCCTCAAGTGAGCACCTTTAGTACCTCTGTAGACTACAGCATAGTGGAGAGAGATCTGAACTAGTTTTAAACCCAGAAGCAGGGTTAATTAGCCAGTTCTAGACTTCTGCGGCTCAATCACTTAAGTCTAGATCAGGTGCGTCTGCGCTGTACTGTAGCCTACAGCTTAGATGTACTGTTAGAGAGAGCTGAGGGTCTCTCCAAGTTAGTGCAACCCCCCGAGCTTGCCATGTGGGCTGCAGCACTGCCAGAATCTCAGCGACGCTCGTTTGTGACTGCATTCCTGATGCACCCAGCGGCTCCCAGCTCCATCTCCAGCATGCGTTTTATGCACATCTTGTGAAGGGGGCTCTGGAGACATCTTTCTTACTGTCTGCTACTGTGTCTGTCTTCTCTTAGTGGGGACTGAGGTTTTTTAGGGACTCTCTAATCTATTTAATTTGCATCAGGGGCCTAGACAAGGGTGCAGGATCTCACCCATTCAACTCATGGTCAGCGGTAACACCCAGGGTCTCTGCAGTACTGAAGCCTAGCCAGTCATTCCTCAGTCTGTATCTGTGCCTGCACTTATTCCATCCAAAGTGAGAGACTTTGCCCTTGTCTTTGCTGAATTGCATCTGGTTGATTGCAAACCATTTCTCTAGTCTATCCAGTTATTTTAGACCCTGGCCTTATTCTTCAGAGTATCTGCAACTCTACCCAACTTGCTGTCGTCCACAAATGTGCTAAGTGTGCATTCAGTTGCATCATCCAGATCATTAATGAAGATCTTGAACAACACCAAATCCAGGACAGTCCTTCAGGAAGGCCACTTGATACTGCCCCCATAACTAGAATTGAGCCATCGATGACAACTTGTTGAGCATGATGATCCACACAGTTATGTAGCCACCTTACAGCAATAGACTTAAATTGCAGGAACGAGCTATTTAGACTGAATACGAGGACAAAGCCAGCAGTAAGGATAATCAAGCGCTGGAACAGATTGCTTAGCAAGCGTCTGTAATCTCCATCGCTGGAAGTCACTAACACACCTGTGAGGAAGGGTTTAAATCTAGCTGATCCTGCCTTGGGGCCATAGCAGAGTAGATGACCTCTCAAGATCCTTACCAATCCATCTCAATTTTCTATGACTGGAAGCTGGCCAGAGAGTCTCCTGGAAGTGGGGAGCCCCTAGAGGCAAAGAGCCAGTATAGCCAGTTCCTATACCTATCTCCGTATAGTGCCAGAGTAGAGGACATGTGCTTTGGGAAGGCTGGGTCGGGGGATGGGGAGAGGAGAGGTCAGAAATCACTTGCTATCACTTTCCTCCTTTGGTTAAATGTTCCTTGGGACTGACTGGCCGGGACAAGTTAAAACAGCTCCTTCCTGCATCCTACAGAAAACTTAAAGCCAAATATTTAAAGGCTTCTAGGTTCCCAAAATGCAGATGGGCACGAGTGATATTTTAAAAAAACACCAGTCTCTAGCGCTCACTGTGGTAGGCACCCTGGCAACCCAATGGGATTTTTGAAAATCCCACGGAGCACCTGTCTGCCTCTTTTGGGATCCAAAAACTTTTTATAAAACTGCGGTAACTAAAAGCTTCCAGTAATGCAAAGAAGTGCAGCTATAATCCACCCCCTGATCATTAAATTAATCCACGATTTAAAGTTATGGACCTGATTTCAACCCTCCCAGCTAAGGAAAAACAGTTCATGTGACAGTTAATATACATTGAAGCCAAAACTATATCATTTACACAACAGAGTCCGTGCTGGAGGGGTTGCCCAGTTCTGCTACCTAAACGATGAGAGGAGAACTCGGCGGTTTATTGCTGCCCTTTGCCAAACCATGTTATTTGTGCATGAACCTAAGAAAAAAGCTAAATTAAGGACCTTGCATTAAAATTGGTTCTAGTTAGTTCCAAAATCAGGGATCAGGGTTGCTTTTTTTCTGTGTGGATGTGTTTAATCGTATCTTGTTGTCTTCTGTAGGAAATTCAGCAAAGGCATGGTCTAGCCAACTCCATCTCCTCCTATTTAATCAAGCCTGTCCAGAGGATCACCAAATACCAGCTTTTACTGAAGGTGAGGCAATGACCTATTCTGAGAAGCCAAATAGTCCACATGGGGTCACAGAGAAATGCAGCAACTTGTGTAGGAGGCAGGTCTGAGCAGCTGCAGCTGGGCCGCTTCTCCCCTTCACCAGTCTGCAACTGAAGGTGGTCTCCATGTTCAGATGACCAAGGGACACAAGGGAGAAGTGGCAGGAGAAGGGGGCTATTCACCTGATTCTGAACCCTCATTGAAGTTGATGGGAAAACTCCAGTTGACCTTAGCCATTGGATCAAGCTGAGGCTGGGTGCAGAAATCAGGAGGGATTTGATGGTAGAGAGTAACTGGGATGGAGAAATGACAGAGAAAAAAAACACTAACATAAAAAGAAATTGAGGGAGGAAAGCTGACTTTGGAAAAGACAAATATCTTGCAGAGAGAGTGAAGATATGAAGTGAAAAATAGAATGCAAGGGATGGAAAACCCTGTGAAGTAGTCAAATTGTAATCTGCAAAGCACGGGAGAAAAGATGTGTTGAGTTGGAAAAGAGAGAGTGATTGAGTCTACTATGAATGAATGTCGAGCACCTGGGAAGTGAGCGCTTTGAAGAGAAAAGGGAATAAAGGGCGGAGAGCCAAGGGAAAGAAAATTGTTTTCTTTTATGCTTGCTTTGCTTTTTGCAGCATTTTGGTGGAAAATGGAAAGTTCAGATGTTTTAAGGAATACCAAACATCTGCCTCTTATCCTGGCTCTGGGCAGAGATCCCTTCTAGCATCTGCCTCCTTTTGGAAGCTGTGCATCAGCCTCAATTTTTTTGGAAAAAGCTGGCAGCTGTCTCAGGGGAATATGCTCATATAGCAATAAAAGACTTTTGGGATGTGAATGTGGAAACACAATGGAAAGTTTCCATTACTTGTGAAATGAGCTTAGATTGGGCAAATCTTTTGCAAAAACACTGACTTGCGCACCTAACTTGTTATCTGAAGTGAGCTCCAACTCACAAGAGATTGTGCTATGTATAACTCTAATTCAGATAGTCTGTAAAGTGCCAAGCCACCCTACCTTCAGACAAAAAACAGCTGGAAGACCCTCTCTGGTAGTAAGTAAACAACTGCAGCCTTATGGCCATGAATGAATTTAGGCCGTTCTGGCAATGCCTGAGAACTACATTTGGAAGTGTTGCAGCATAATTTGCCATGCACACTCCACATGCGTTATCCTTCAAATTGATGATGCAGTGTAGCCACTCCAGGGACAGATCCAGGATTTGGCAAAGAGTGTGTGGGAATAGCCACCTGTGCTGCAAGGGTGGCTGCATATCTGCTCCCAGCCTCCTTCCCCACTAGTTGCAGCAGACCATGCCAAAGGACCCCCTGTGGACTTTTTCAGAGTCCCCAAAGCAAGTAAGAATCCCCTCTGCTCAAAGGCACACTGCTGGTGCTGAGCCTAGCCCCCGTGCAGCCTGGATGGAGCTGGCAGGAGCAGCTTTGAAGCTTCCCTTGCCCCCAGGACAGTGAAGAAAGCATCAGCAGCAGGCAGGGGAGAAGGGAAAGGGGATGAGAGGGGATTCTTATGTGGTTTGAGGATTTTATAAAAGTCCCCAGAGGGTCCTGCAGCATGGTCCAGATCAAAAGTGGGTGTATATGCCCTCCACTCCCTCTGTATCCAACCCTGAGCCACTTCTAACAGAGCAGAGTTCCTGGTTTGCAACACATGCTGCACTGAGACGGCCTTTTCTGGGTGTAGTGTGCATGGAGCAGCCATGGTGAGCTTCACTGCCATGCTCCCTCATCTGATCCTCAGGTAGCATAGACAACCGTGGAGTATGTGCAGGTGTGGAAATACTGGTAGATTATCCCTGCAGAGCTGTGGCATAGTGGACATAGGTGTGCTGGGAAGCCTGGGCTTTGCACCCGTATAATAAAACCACTTCCCACAAGCAAAAGAAACGATACGAGTCACAGAGAAACTATAGCAAGTATAGCAGTGTTGCTGGTATGACTGTCCATTGGGGTCTTCTGTTGAGGTAGCCACATTGATCACATCTCTTCATTCTCCTGCTTGGCCTATTCTGCTGGCTAAAGCTTGTAGTGTGGACACAGCCTTAATTAAACCAGTTTAGCTAAACCTGTGTGTTCACACTCTTGTTTGATTTCAGAGAAGTTAATTTTCTTTTACTTTTAATGTTTCCAGTGAGTTTCCACTGGGTTTATATCAATTTCTGAATGCCCACATAACGGTTCATAGTCATTCTAAGGACATTAATTTGAAATCCCTTCTTTAGTGGAAGCTGTTAAAACTCTGCAAGGAGACCAGGCTTTAGGCATGGAAATGCAACCTGAATCTAAGAAGTGAGAATGTACAACTTCCTGCATGGAGCTTATTTGTATATATTCTGTATTTTTTTTTTCCTCAGGAGCTGTTAACATGCTGTGAAGAAGGCAAAGGGGAACTCAAAGATGGCCTAGAAGTAATGCTTAGCGTCCCTAAGAAAGCCAATGATGCCATGCATGTCAGCATGCTGGAAGGTAGCAGACTCCGGCAGTTCCAAGGGGGGAAAGCTGCGCATGAATAAGTCCTGAATGTCTTGGGCAGAGGTCCTGGTTCAGAGTTTGCAGCGACAGGTTTTTGATGGCTGGTCCTTGGGGTCTCTGCTGCATCCCGGCCTCTTGGGAGATTTCTCTGAAAGGCTTGTCAGGGCAAGAGCTGATCCAGATATTTCAGTGAAGCTTTTTCCTTGCCACAAATTCCCACTCACTGAAAGCAAAAGTGTTTTCCTAAAAGATATTGTGGATGAGTTTTACAATTGTTTAAATGTCCTGTTTTAGCGCTTGCCGAATGAAAGGTTTAGGGAAAGGGGCTTGAGTCAAAGCAATTTTTTTTTTTTTTTTACAAAAAGGATATTTATATTAAAGAATACATGGCAAAAGAAAAGTCAACATGAAAACAGTGTTTCAAAATTACAAAAATGAAACATTTTAATTGGCCCCAAATAATTTTTTTTTAAATTTTTGGGTCATGAACGTTTGCAAGATTTTGAATTTTCTCTCTGATTCTGGACAGGACTATTTTTTGATAGTTTAAAAATTGTCCCAGAATGGCAAAAATCATTTCCCTTCTAGATCTAGGCAGAACTGGCAAAGAAGAAGAGTATTGAAGCAAAAGATATAAGGACTGTGCCACTTTGAGCTAAAAAGTGTGTCATGCCTGGGTGGTTGAAAATAACCAGTTGGCACACTGGTTTGGAAAAGTGAAAACACCTTGAAAGCTCGCTGTTTTGACAGTACAATCTGAGCCAAACTTTTCTGAGAAGCTTTAAGGCTTGAATTTTATCAGGGCCTGGACTGATAAAACCCATGCTCTGGTGTAATTTATATCCATTTGTGTACTGAACTAGATTACACTGGGGTAGGAACAAACAGACATGAAGTTATCCCAGTAGCTATTACGTAGTACTAGCTGATGATGGTGCCTTGCCACTAAGTAGAGGGGGGCAAATTGGAGCCTGTTTGCCTACCTAGCCAGACAGAAACTAAACCAGTATAACTTATACCAATAGTGTTTTGTCCTGATTCTTTCAAAGATAATACCTTACCAGGTAAGGCAAAGTTATCTTAGTTTAAAGATTTGCCTGGTCTGTCTGCTACTCTTTTATACCAGTGAAATTCCCACTACACCCATGTCAATATTGCTTCTGTCCATACTCTCATTGTGGTGCCTAGCAAAAACAAAATTGCCCAAATATTGTGTTTGCTTGCAAAACTATATGCACCTTGTCCCCAAAAGTCAGCTCTCCAAAATTGGGGTGTGTATCTTCAGCAGGGAAGGTGATTTCCTTCACTGGAACAGAAGCATGAAGATGCTGTGTTGGAAAGTGGCTTCCAGCTCCTCTCTCAACAAGCCAGCAAGGAGGGTGGAGTCCAGTGTCAAGCCTTTCATAGCTTGGCTCATCTTGCTGGCTGCGAGACAAGCTGGCAGCTGTTTTGCAGCACAGCCTCTCTATGAAAAAGCCAGCCCTATACCCTGATGCTAGAAAAATCTTTTTTTCTACATTTGACTTTCCAAAGAACAAGGTGCGCATCTTATCTGGGGACTTGTGGCTTGCAAGAAAATACAGTAAGAGAATTGGTTCCTAGGAGATCTCTAGACAACTGGGAGTGAGTCGAGAACTATGGATAGCTGGTCTAAGGTTGGGACAAGCGTATGGAAAGGTGTTTTTTTTTCTAAACTAAACCTCAGCTTGATTCCGATATCCCACCCAATTTATAATAATTTAGCCCCATTTATTCAGTGGAATTACTCCTGGTTTACACTGCTGTCATATCAGAAAAGACCATATTTGTCCATTGTTGGTTAAAGAGGCTATGGCAAGATATAATGCCCTGCACTGCCACATAGGACAGTGCTCACCACTAAAGTCTTTCCAGTGTGAATTGCAAGACCGGGATGGCACACACAGGATTCCCTGGGTCAGTGGGGGCCCAACCTTTCACCAGGTTAGCCTGGCACCCTCCCAAAGTGTCACTCTTATTCTCTTCCCCTGTCCGCTCTGCTTTGTGCTCCCTGCTTGATCTGCTGCTCTGCTTTTTGCTCCCTGCCCTGTCTGCCACTGCGCTGCATGTCTCCTCCCCAGTTTGCCATTTGCCCCACACAGAGGTTGCCAGTGCCACTTGTGGCATGCTTGCCACAGGTTGGCTATCCCTGCCCTGCATTGCTGCCCAACCTGCAGTTGGGGAACCATTGACATTTTGCACACGTTTATCTTTGTCTCACTTACATTACCACATCCACAGGCACAGTGGTACATTTTTGCCTGGTACACGTGATATACAAAGCACCACTGAAATAATGAAATCCCTGGTGGTAAAGAATAAAGCAAGGGGCATATTGCCTATGATACTTCCTCTCCATAATGTCCCTTCAAGAATGAGTTGTATAGCAAGGAGTGACCCATTAGTTCAAGATTTCCCTAACACTCTAGTTTTGCTTTGTTGATCATTGAAAACATAGATCCAGGAACAAATCCTGGCTAAACCATTTTGTGTGTTTCCTTTAGGATTTGATGAGAACCTGGATGTTCAGGGAGAGCTGATTCTGCAGGATTCCTTCCAGGTGTGGGACCCCAAGTCTCTCATTCGGAAAGGCCGGGAGAGGCACTTGTTCCTCTTTGAAATCTCGTTGGTTTTTAGCAAGGAGATCAAAGATTCATCAGGACACACAAAATATGTTTACAAGAACAAATTACTGGTAGGTCTGCCAGCCATGAAAATATTCTAGACTCGCACTGTTTGTCAGTAGAGGTGGTAGTGGGTGGCTTGCTTGTTTCTACATCAGGTTTGGGATGCATCCGCACCTGGATCAGCACCTTGGATATCTCATCAGGACTCACAAAGCCCAGTTGGACTTGGAGTGTTTCTGGAAAGGTTAAAAACGATTGTGTGGGTGGGGGTCATCTGAGCCAATCGGACACCTCTGCCTGGTAGCCATTGCTGGGTTTGCATTGATTTCATCAGGGTGCAACATACCAAGAGAGACAAGTTCTCAGTGTAAAAGTTTTTGAAACCAAAATGCTTCAGTCACAAAGTCGTTTCTCCAATCACTTCTTCTCTCCTAGACCTCAGAACTGGGAGTGACAGAGCATGTTGAAGGAGATCCCTGTAAGTTTGCCTTGTGGTCTGGGCGGACACCATCTTCAGACAATAAAACAGTGTTGAAGGTAAGTCTTTTGGGCTTGGTTTATTTGCCTGCAAAGCATTAACTTCTGGGACTTCAGAATGCTAGTGGGAGGTCAGGTTCTTCCCTTGGACACATCCTGATGGCTCTCAGTGCAATCAAAAGACTGGTGTCTACATGCTGGGACAGATTTCTCTCTAATACATGTTTCCCTCAATTTATGGGGGTTCTTCATATGTGAATTCGCACTTATGCAATGATCATATTTAGACCCATAATTTGTTATATGTGAGGTAAATCCGCTCCTATGCGATTGGCATTGACGTCCCCCTCTGCCCAAGCAGGTAAGTCTGTGGGGGAGGGGAAAGGGCTGTGGCCCCACTCGCCCCGGGAGTGGCCGGCACCAGCTGCCTGCAGCTGCTTGGCTGCACCATGCTCCCCGCACCATACCTGGGCTCTGGGGTGAGTGCCGTGCCCTGCTCTGCCCAGGACTCTGCGTGTCCACACTTACCTCTGATCCTAGGCTGCACTGTGCCCTGGTGCAGGCAGCTGGTGTCAGCTGCTCCTGGGGCCGCTCCAGCATGGGCTGGGGTGAGTGCAGAGAAGCAGAGCCCTGGCTGGCACAGGGCATGGCACTCATCCTGGTCCCAGGAGCAGCCAACACCAGCTGCCTGTAGCAGCTTGGCTGCACCACACCCCAAAACCCCTGGGGCTCTCCCAGGGGTTCCCTCTAAGGAGCAGCGGTCTGTGAGCGCGCCGCCTCGGTCTGGTGTGGGACACTTACCGAAGGGAGCTGAGGGCTCGGGACCGGAGGCTGGAGCTGGGGACTGGGGCTGGAGGCTGGGGCCAGGGGCCAAGGGCTGGAGCCAGGGGCCAGGATCTGGGGGCCAGAGGCTGGAGCCAGGGCCTGGAGCTGGGAGCCGGGGGCTGGGGCCAGGGGCCAGGGCTGGGGGCTGGAGCCAGAGCGTGGCACAGGCTCCCCGGCTCCGGGGAAGTGATCCGCTCCCCCACATCAGGGCCGGGGAGTGGAGC